CCTTGGGAGGTGGCCCAGAGCCTCAGCACAGGCCTGGCCCCCTGCCCTTGCCCACCCACTGGGCGGCGCTCACTGCCTTAGCCGCAGGGCAGTCTGGCTGCCCCCTCCCCGCCTGTGCCTCTGCGCTGCCTGCTTCCTGCCCTGCAGAGCGCCCATCCCCCGGTGACGGGGTGGCCCCTGGGCCTCTGGCTTTCCCACTGCACAGCGCCTGGCTCCCGGGACAGGGATGCCGCCCTCCACGCTGATGTTGGGGGAACGGGGAGGGGGGTGGGGAGCCAGCTGCCTTGGCCACAGCAAGGCAGACAGACGAAAACCCTGCGCTTCACGGCCGGAGGCAAGGTGCCTGGTGCAGGCAGGGGAGGCGCCCAGAGAACTCCGGGCAGGACGCGCACACCTGTGCACGTGCAGCACGGGAAAAGGTGCTGACGGAGAACAGGCCCGGTGGCCCCACTGGGTTAAGTTACGGCCAGTGGACAGCAGAGCGATGCCAGCCGCTGGGACGGATACCGTCCATCACATAACTGGGTTCATATCGGCACCGGGCGGTCCTCCCTCTTGCTGCTCCCTGGTCTGCCCTCTACTTCTACTGAGCACCTACTGCGTACAAAGCACGGCCTGGACTGACAGCAGGGACCCAGTCCCGGCCTTCACGGGGCTCGGGGTCCCTCCAGGAGGAAGCGGGGCTGCTGTGCAGCGGCTGCTCCCGAGCAAGGGGTCCTTCCTCCCAGCAGGAAACCCAGGAGGGTGTCCTGGAGGAGGTGGCCTGGGCTCTGGCCTGACCAGGTGTTGCCACCATTCTGAGTCCTCACCACAGGGACAGAGCCCATCACTCAGTGCCTGGCTCCACCAACACCAGGCTTCCTAGGGGTGGTTCGGGGTCCGGGGCTGAGAGGACACCAGCCCGGTCACTGGGCGGCTGGCCTGGGCAGCCGCCTGAGTCAGGGCCGCACTCACCCGATGGGTGAAGGACAGGTCAGAGGGTGAGGAAGGGCATGGCCTGTCCTCCTGAGAACGCTGGGCGCAGTACACGGGCGAGTGACGCACTGGGCACCGCAGCCCCGGGCAGCAGCTGGGACAGCCGCCTGCCGTGGCCCCGCACACAAGTCAAGCAGCTGGTGCCAACCATCACCTGCCAAGTGGGCAGCTGTGGCCCCTGGACTTTGGACCAGGGGCGGTGGCTGAGGGCCAGGCCTGGCTGTGGTCAGTTAGGCCACCGATCGGGCCCTGGCGGGGTCTGGGGGAGGGGCGAGCCCCTCGGCTCCCCTGGGTGCTGGAGGGCACAGCTCAGGAGGTGGCCAGGCTCCAGTGAGGGGCACCCAGTCAGGGTCCTGCTGCCAACCTGCTGTACCACCTGGGGCGGGTCCCCCTGGCCGAGCCTGTTTCCCCACCGGGCAAGCAGGGACGAGAACCCTGCAGGGTCCGCTGAGGGAAGGCTATGTACATTTACCTGTGCTGTCCTGTCCTGTTCGTGCTCTTGGAGAAAACCACGTGCCAGTCAGAAAACCACGATGTTCCCAGGCCCTGACCCTCCCCCACCCACACAAAGCCAGACTCGCCCCTGCCTGCGTGGCCGCCCTGAGACAGCCCCTCCTGTCTGGGCCGGCCCCACCTGCAGGCCCCAGCCCGCCCTCTGCCCCGCCTGCTCGCCACGCTCCCCGCTCCCCAGCACAGGGAGGCGTCTGCAGGCCGCATGCTGACTGGGCGGAAGTCCAGGGTGGAGCAGGGGGAGGGGCCAGGGGACACTGTCTGTGGCCCTGAGGGACGCTGCCTAACTGCACACGTGTGGCAGCATCTGACGGAGGAAGTGGCGTCTGCCGCACCTGGCCTCGTGGCCTGTGAGCGGTGCACCTGGAGCACCCGCTGGGCGGGCAGTGAGCCCAGCACTGAGTGAGAAATGACTTGCCCATTGTAGGGATGGGGAAACTGAGCCAGGACACAGCCTGGGCACAGCCTGGGTGATGCGTGGCCCAGGGGAGGGTCCAGAGCACCTCGGGAGGGAGGGCGGGGTTTGCACTGCGTGCGAACCTTTAAAAAAATGATGACAACTACCCCAACGGCCGCGCGAAGGCCGGTGTTTATCGTCCGGGGTAAGTGGTGGATCTTTGGGGGCAGGAGGGCTCCTTCTTCCCCCGACGCCCACACAGGGGGCAGGTGGGACCGGCTCGGGGTTCAGCCACCTGGACACAGGCGTTCCCAGGAACAGGGGCACCCCCGGCACACACGGCAGGTTTGGGCAGCTTCATGCGGGGCTCCCAGGCTCCCACCTGAGCCCATGATTTGCCTCGTGTTACTTGTGAAACAAACGTGGATGTGAAATTGGTCGCTTGCCATGGCTGAGCCTGTGGGGGCCGGGCCCGCGCCCAGTGCTTCGTGTCACCCGGGGGCACAGCGCCCACAGTTGGGGCACCACCTCTGTCCACGGGGAGACGGATGGGGCTTCAGGGATCTCCTGGCCATGGGGTGCGGGTTGGGGCGTGGGTCCCCTCTCTGAGGGTAGTGGGAGGGAGCGATGGAGACGCAGCAGCCAAGGGCACCAGATCCCACAAACACCTCCCCGTCCCAGCTCGGTCAGCCGAGCCCTCTGGGCCCCCACCCTGGCCGCCCTGGCTGTGACTACGTTTGTGGGAGGTGCCCAGAGATCTCCTATGAAAACCCAGTCTTCCCAGCTTCGCCTATAGAGCTGGGCCACACCCTGGCCACACACACTCAGATGGGGCCCATTGGGTCCAGCTGGCCAGGCCCCACCCGGCCTCTTTGCCTCTGACCCCTGGCCAGGACCCCCAGCCACTGGAGTGGTGGAGGGGGCAGAGACAGCTTCCTCTCTCCGGCTCCAGGGGCAGGAGCACCCCCAGAGGGGACCCTAGTGGAGGCGGGTCTTGCAATGACAGAGGGGGAGGCTGAGCCTTTGCAGGGAACACCTCCCCTGGTGGCCACGTGTGAGTACAACACCTGGGAGAGCTGACCCCAGGAGGGACCCTAAGACCAGCCTGGGGGGATCCGCACTGGGAGGGCAGCGTGGGCCCACCCGGCTCACACCTTCTCCGCAGGGAGTTCCCGCACCGGCTCTCCCAGAGGCACCTGCTCGCCGTGCTTGACGCCAAGTAGGGTTTTATTTCATCTTTTTTTAAAAAATTTATTGACTTGAGAGATGGAGAGGAGGAATATCGATTTGTTGTTCCATTGATCCACGTGTCCACTGGGTGGGTCTTGTATGTGCCCTGACCAGGGATGGGACCCACAGCCTTGGTGTCCCCGGAGGACGCTCTACCCAGCGAGCCGCCGGCCAGGGCTCATGTCCTTCCTCTTCGAAGTCCAGGTGAACCGTCACGTGAGTTTGTCCCGGGCACGGGCTGCTTCCCATCCTGTTTCTGGAAAGTGAAGGCAGCACATGGAGCCCTGGCCGGCGGCTCAGCTGGTGGGCTTCCATCCAGGGGCGTCGCTACAGCTCGGGACACAGGCTCCGGTGGCCCTGCCCCGGGGACCCGCAGCTGTCGGCATTCCGGGCCGTGGTGCCTGGTGCCTGGGCGGCCAGCCCTCACCCTCACCGACCGGGAGCGCCCGGCTGCCATCTGCCTCCCGTGTCCCGGGTCACCCTGGGCCGGCAGACCCCTCGTCCCTGCCGACACCACCCGTCCACACTCGGGTCCTCCGACGGGCGGGCACCCACCATCCTTGGGTCTGAACCCCCCGCAGATGCTCTGATGCCCGCCCCCCCGCGGCCGCCTGTGGCCGCAGCAGCTTCCCCTCAGGCCACCGGCTCTCTGCTCCCCCCGGGCTGGCTCTCCGGAGCTGGTGTGGGAACCAACAGGCCCGAGGTGGCTCCGGCCGCGAAATTCCCAGGGAGGGGGCGGCCTGTGTCACCTCAACTATCCGAACCCGCCTCCCTCCTTCCGTAACCAAGTCTGACACCTGCCGAGCGCCAGCCGCGAACCGGGTCTGGGCTCAGCTGATCCTCACGGCCCCGTGAGCCGGGTCCTGCGGCCACCCGCCCGCCTCACAGACACACTCCCGTCTCCTCAGTAACAGGCCCACGCTCCCAGGGGCCGGGCACCAGCTCAACGCCCGCATGCCCGGCCCTCGCAGCCAGCAGCGGCCGGTGCCCCGGCTCCGGGTGGGGAGGGGAGGGCACACTGCGCCCGGGTCTGCTCTGCCCGTGGCCTTGGTGGCAGGCGCTCCAGCAGCCGCCTTGGGCCAGGACGGGAGTGAGGAGGGCAGTGCAGGTGGCGAATGGGAGACGGGGTGTGGGGGGCTCCACGCCTCTGGCTGCTCCCCCGAGAGGGAGAAAGGTCTCCACCTGCTGCTTCCTCTGCCTGAGGCCCAGCCCCACCCTCAGGAGAGCAGTCATTCTCTCCAGCACGTGGAGACGCGGGCTGGGAGGGCAAGGGCATGGGCAGGGCAGGGCTGGGGTTCGAGTCCACCCAGAGGTAGGACAGCGGCAGGTTCCCCAGAAGCCGGGCGCTGTGCCAGCCGGAGGAGGCGCCCGGTTGGTGGCCCTGGCATCTGCCCGAGGCTGGGCCACCCCAAGGCCTGTGCCTGCCCCAGGCATGTCCCGGGAGACAGACCGGGGAGCCAGGAGTGCGGCCACGCCCCTCCCGCAGGAAAGAACTTGGGTTTATTTGCAGTAAAAACCGTGGTCTGAAAAAACCTCCTGGCAAATGGACAGTCTGTGTTCCATTTGGGGTCACCCCCAGCTGCGGGACCCCGGGCTTCTGACCCACATGCATCGGGCTCCATGTTCACAGCCAATCCCAGGCCCCGGCCCGCAGCCCCTCCAGAGGGCGCCCCGCCTCCTGCCTAAGGAGCCGGAACCGGAACCGGAACCGGCCCATCCCCGCCTGCGCCTGGCCCTCCTCCCCTCCTGCCCCAAACCAACCAAGCCAAGCCCGTGTTTCAAAACAGACGGACAAAACCATCGCAGGAACGGGGACCTGGTTCCGCCTTCCCAGTGGCCCCTGGTGCACGGGCGCTTCGCGGTGGCCTCAGATATACACACTTTCCCGCTCTTATAAATCTCCTTATATTCACAGACACGTAACAGGAGCTTTGGACGAAATAATTACAAACTTCTTTTTCCCTTAAAAAGCAAACAAGCCAAACGAAAAACAAACAGCAAAACCTTCCGACAGCAGTAAACAGAAAGGGGCTGGTCTCCCCTCCGCGGGGCTCGCGGCCGGGGGTCGGCGCAAAGTGCTGGGTGCGCCCCGGTGGCGGGATTCTTCCCCCCGGCTCACCGCCCCGACCGCGATCCTCACCCGTCTCCAGCCCCTGCCGCTGCCTTCTCTCTTCTCCGCTGCTCACCACCCGGACCCTCCCGCCTCCTCCCCAAGCCCGGGGCTGCGGGGGCCCAGCCTGCAGGCTACAAAGCTGACCTCCGAGGACCCCCGGGTGCAGCGTGGAGGACGAGGCCCAGCCTGGCCCCGCTCCCCGCACAGGGCCGTGCAGCTGACCAAGCGGAGGAGCGGACCATGGAGCCCAGGCCCCGGGCAGCCCTGGCATGGGGCTCGGAGGGAGCGTGTCACTAGGTCTCATGCAACATCCAGGCAGAGAGGGTCTGGCCGAGCAGCCAGAGGCCAAGGCCAGGGGAGGCGGGAGGGGGCGCCACAGGGCAGAGCCCCCCAAGAGCACTTATTTCGGGGCCCGTTCACGAGCTATGGGAGCTCCCGGCAGGAAGACCCGCCCAGGGCGAGACCCCGTTGCAGGACACAGGAGACCCCGAGGGCACCCCGCACGGGAGCGTGGCGCCCCCTCCTGGACAGGAATGTGAGCAGCAGGGACAGCGAGGGGACGCCGTGTTCTTCCCGCCCGCATCGGGTCTCCAGACGTCTCCCGGCAGCAGGCAGGACAGACAGCCTCGGGTTCGGGCAAAGACAGTACCATCGACCAGGGGGCAGGGGGCAGGGGGCAGCTCCCTCGCTCCCAGGGCACCTTCCTGAGAGGTGCCGGCGGGGGGCTGGGGGGGTTCTCTGCATGCCCTGGGGCAGAGGGACACGGGGAGGTCAGGGGATGGCCAGGCCCCTCCAATGCCCTCTCCTACACCCGAGTCACCCTGGGAGCAGCAGGAAGCAGGAGGGCTGAGTCCAGGGCTGAGCAAAGTGGGGGTAGCCACCCTCCCCGCCCCCCACGGCATCAGCTGTTGCCGCCCAGGCTTCTGAATGCCGCCCGGACAGGACGGGGCAAGACGAGCTCCACCCTCGGCTGCGGCCCGGCGCTGGCCCACTCGGCCCGGGCGCTCCGGCCTCGGCGCTCCGGCGGGGCAGCCATGCAGGCCGCCCGGTTCCTCTATGTACAAGCGGGAACCCCGGACAGGCCCCCCGAGGGCAGACGGGCGGGGCACGGTTTGAGGTTAGGACTCTGAACACCCTCCCCATCCCCGCGGGCTGTTGGAGATGGAAGGTCGGCAGGCATGTCCCCCTCTGGGTCCCAGGACTGGACACGGACGCCCACAGCAGTCCCCGAGTCCCGCCTGCGTCCCTGTCACTGGATGCCCTCCTCTTCCACATAGGTTGAAGGAAACCAGCCGATCTGAAAAGAAAGAGACGGATCACTAACTGTGTGCGTGTGTGCATGTGTGTGTGTGTGTGTGTGCGCGTGCGTGCGTGTGCGTGTGCATGTGCGTGCGTGTGTGCGCGCGCATGTGTGTGCATGTGCGCACATGTGTGTGTGCGTGTGGTGTGTGTGTGGTGTGCGTGTGTGGTGTGCGTGTGCGTGTGTGTGCGCGTGTGCGCGTGCGTGCTGGGACAGGGCGAGAACGGGCTGTGGAGGTGGGGGTCCTTCAAACGGCGATGCCAGCCTGGAGAAGAGGCTGAGAGCCGGGTGCAGCCCTGGCCCCGAGTAGGTGGGGCCCCGAAAGGCACAGCCCTGAGCCGTTCACGCGGAGCCCGCCCTCTCCAGCTGCCGCCAGGAAAATAAACATCGCCTCTGGGGGAAGAGCATTAGCCAGAGCCTCTCCAACGGCAACTTTCCTTTCATAACAAAATTGTTTTTATTGATGTCAGAGAGGAAGGGAGAAGGAGAGAGAGAAACATCAATGATGAGAGAGCATCATGGGTCGGCTGCCTCCTGCACGCCCCCCACTGGGGATCGAGCCCAAAACCTAGGCATGTGCCCTGACCGGGAATCGAACCCTGACCTCCTCGTTCATGGGTTGATGCTCAACCACCGAGCTACACCGGCCGGTGTTAAAAAAGAGAGTGGAATGAAGACGTGTCCCCATCCAACAAAAGCTAAGGACTGACAGACAGACTCGCACGGAGCACAGCCCAGGAGGAGGGAGTGCTGGCAGCGGGAACTGGTCTTGGGCGGAAATACGAGAACGCCGGGAGGACCCAGGAAAAGTGAATCTAAATGAGCACTGACTGCCTAAAGCAAGTCACGTGCTATGGGCTAAAATATGTAGAATAAGATACATGCGGCCGGTGTGGCTCAGGGGTTGAGTGGTGACCCACGAACCAGGAGGTCAGGGTTCGAATCCGGTCAGGGCACAGGCCCGGGTGGTGGGCTCCATCCCCAGTGTGGGGCGTGCAGGAGGCAGCTGGTCCATGATTCCCTCTCATCACCGATTGGTGTTTCTCTCTCCCTCTCCCTTCCTCTCTGAAATCAATAAAAATATATTTAAAAATAAAAAAATTTTTTGAAGATACATGACAACACCTTCCCCAAAGCTGGGGAGCAGGGGGGCGGGTGGGGGGGCGGGGGGGGCGGGTAGTCAAAGACTGAGGCCTCCGTCGTCGGGAAGGTGGCCCTCAGCAGGGGAGGCGGGGGGGGGGCAGACTCACCCGGCCGTTGGTCTCGCCCCGCCACCAGCCCTGGTCCCCGCCGATGCGGCTGTAGATCTTCACCACGTCGCCTTCCCGCAGCGAGAGCTCCCGCAGGTCCCGGGCCGCGAAGTTGTACCTGGCCACGGCCGTGCCGATGACGCGGGGCGTGAACACTGGTGGGGAGAGGGGTGGCGTCACCGGGCTGCGGGCAGGGCCCAGCCAGGGCGGGGGGACGCTCAGGCCGCGCTGGCTGTCTCTCCCCAGGCGTCTGGCCCATCCCTGGCGGGGAGGCCCGGTGGCATAAAGGCTCTGGAGGGACAGCCAGGCCCCAGGCCCAGGGCCCCTCACTCCTCTGTGGTCTGAGATCGCCGTGGAGGGAACCAGAGCGGGCACCACCCACCCTGGGAGCCATCACAGGCCATGACCGCGCTGCCACGGGGACAGGGACAGACGCCGTGCTCTGACCATCACAGCGCCTGCGAGGCCCCCCGTGGGTCCGGTGCACGGGCGCCACAGGCCAGGGGACAGCTCCCAGCTCCCAGAACCTCACTCCGATGGAGCACCCTGACGGGACCCCAGGGCACGGTGCCTGCCTCCCTCAGGCCCCCCCTCCAGGCCCCCAAACTGGAAACCCCGCTGGACTCGCTCCCCCAGGACCCAGGAGTCCTGATGGGCAGGTGACAGTGACCGCGACAGAGGGGAAGCAGGCACAGCAGCTGGGAGGGCTCTGGCTCCGGCTCTGGCAGCGGAGGGAGGGCCGTGTGGTCGGCCACCGAGACCCCGCCCCCCAAGTCCCCCCACCCCTCCGACAACGCCGAGTGGGGCCGTCCGGGTCTGCTCCCCCCTCCCAGGGCGGCCGCCTGGCCGTCAGCCGCTACCAGAGTCAGAGCTCTCAGTGAGCAACGCGGGACGATGGCCGAGCAGCTGGGGAGTGGCCATCGGGTGAGCGTGCTGAAGGGTGACAGCAGTGAGGGCAGCGCCAAGCCTGCCGGGGTCCTCGGGTGCAGCAGTCCCGCCTGCCCCCCTGCCCCCCACCGCTGGGACACCTGCAGGCAGGGGTGGGCCAGCAGGCAGCCCGTGCCAGGCCCCCCACGCCCCGAGGGCAGCGGTACCTGACCAGAAGGGAGCGGAGGAGCCCTGAGAAGCAAAGCTGAGGCCCTGAGGACTGAGAAAAGAAAAGTTGTAGGAGGCGCAGGAAGCTGCAAAGAGGCGAGAGAGAACGTGAAAGGGGGCAGAGGAGCGTCCACGGGACCCACCGCACACGGTCGCAGACGGCAGGGATGGGGCCCAGGCCGCCCTAGGAGCCGGGGGCATGGGGGGGGGGGGCGGGCAGCCTCAAGGTCCACCCGGGCACAGGCACAGTGGCCACCTCTGTGGTGCCCTCCCTCCAGTTCAGCTCTCTGCACCTGCCCCCAGAGAACAAATCGGGTCGCCTCTCCCAGGGGCGGCCCCTTGCCCAGCACACAGTAGGTGCTCACTAAAGGCCCGCCATGCCTCTCCTGGCCTGCTCTGCCTGGGTGGACCCACGGCTCTGCAGGTCTTGCAGGCTGGGGGAAGCGGGTGGCTCAGGGTGAGTCCTGGACTGGATGTCGAATGCTTGGGCCAGCCTGCCCCCCACGCCAGGCCCCCCCCCCCCCCCGCCCCCTAGGCCAGCCCCTGGCCTGGGCCGCAGGGCCTGGTCTGCACAGAGGTGCTGGCCTGGCTCCTGCACAGCGGGGCCCCTGGGGGGCTAGGGCACAGGGAGGGATCTGAGGACAGGCGGGTCCCACCCTGTTCTCTCCCCATGCTGACCTCGGCAAAGGCAGCCAGGCTCAGAGCAGCAGCTCAGAGCGGCAGTCCTCACCCGACACCCAAGACCCCTGGGGCACCGGCTGGGGAGGGTGCTGGTGACGGGCTGGGTGCCAGGGCCACTGCTCTGGGCCTAGGTCAGCGTGGCCCACGGAAGCCTTCCTGAAGGCAGGTGGGCAGTGGGGCCTGGGCCGGGGAACTGGGGCAGAATGAACAGCTCCGGGGGAGCACTGGTGTGCCGGGGGCCGGGCACTACCTGGGGACCGGCTGGAGGTCCTGGAGGCCGCACGTTCCCGGGACTTGTAGGGGTACTTGAGCGTGGTGTCCAGCTGCTTGAAGCTCTCCTTCAGAGAGTGGCACTGGTAGTACTCCACCAGCTCCTGCAGGACATGCCCACTGACTGCCGCCGCCTCCAGGCAGGCCTCCTGGGTGTCCCGGCCGCCCTCTGCCATCTCCTCAGGTTCACACAGGGGACTCCTCTCCTGGACCCTCGAGAGCCCCCCCGTCCTCTTCCCCCAGCACCAGGCCCAGGGCCGGTGGCCGGCATCCCAAAGACCTTGGAGCCAGTCATTTCTCTCGCAAACGTTTCTAAAGGAAAAGCCTGTGAAATATTGAGGTCGGGGGCGGGGGTGCTCCTGCAACCCTTTATATGGAAGAAAGCGGGAACCCCACGTGCCAACACCAGGGAAATGCTTCTAGCAGTAACAGCCTGTCCAGTGGCCGAGGCCACGCGGGCACCAGCCAGGAAAGGGGGGCGGGGGGGGCACTGACTGGCCGGAGAGCAGGCCGGGGCACGGCACAGCCCGGCCAGCGGTTCTGTGTGGAAACATGACATAAGCCACAGCGAAGCTCTCCCGGGCGGTGTGGGGGCTTTAGGGGCGGCAGTGGGGGCTTTGTTTACTTGGCGCTTCTCTGTGGCCGCTGTGGGTCTAAGAGCTCAGATGGTCTCAGTACATGGACCGCGTGAAGCAGGAGAATGAAGGGGTCCAGCCTTAAAGTCACCTCAGGAAGGACTGTGCCGTGAGCTGCGCCGGCTGGGCTGTGACCGCACAGCGGGGAGGCGGGGAGAGGGGCCGGCGGGGCAGGGGTGCTGTGGGGAGCAGCCGGGGGCGAGATTGGCCCACACCAGGCCCCACTGGGCCATGGTTTCCGGCTCCGGCAGGAGGACCGGCTGGGCCCTCCCTGTCACTGTCCACCACGGTCAGCCCACCTGGCCCTTTGGGGGACTTGGGGGACAGTCCTGACTCAGGGGCCCCAACTGCCCCAAGGCGGGGGTGCAGGAGGCCTCTCCTCCTTGGAGTGGCGGCACGGGGGCCAGGGCCTCCCCCGACCCTGGGGCCAGGCTGGCGGGAGCCGCAGAACCGCGTACCAAGAGGCTTTCAAACTTCTTGGCTTCCGTGATGTGGATCCAGCTGTCTTTCTCCACCACCTTAATGTGCTTCACCTCGTCGTTGAACCTGGCAAAGTGCACGGCGCGGCGGTCACTGACGGGCCACACGGCCCTGCCCCTCGGGGGCCAGACTCAGGAGCCAAGCCCCACCTGGGCCCTCAGCTCACACCTGCTCTCCAGCCCTTGCCTTTCAGTCCTCCCCCCACCCCGCCTGCTCCGGGCCTGCCTGCGACAGCTTGTCTGTCTGTCTGTCTGCCTCTCCACCCTGAGCTCCAAGCTCCCAGCCCAGCCTGCACCGCCTCCCCCAGCCACTTCCTGACTCGGGGTTCTGCTCACCCTCCTCTCTGTCCTGGGACCCCTCCGCCTCCTGTTTCCCCAGCGCCCGCAAGGACTGCACAGCCAGGGGGCAGGTCAAAGGCCTGACCGTGGCCTGGGGGCCTGAGGAGGCAGCCCCGCCCCAGCTTTGACACCATCTCCTAATATTCTCCCACTCCACAGCTTCCACTCCAGCCGGCCCGGCCTCCGCTCTTCCTCAGACACGCCAGGCACATGCCCGCTGGGCCGGCACTGGCTGCCCCTCGGCCATCCTCTCCGTGCCCTGTGTCCTCAGGTCTCAGATCCCATGTGGCTTTACTGGCGAGCCTCCCGCCCCCCTCCCCAGGTGCCATGTACCCTTGCAGCTGACACCAACCCCAGACAAAGACCCACAAGGAAGAAAATGCCACACCAACACCCCTTACGACAGCAGACGCTAAACGTTCAATCACCGGATCTCTCCACACCGACGTCTACACAGGCCCCACATACGCAGGACGTCACACCACAGCCAAGTGGGATCCCAGGAAGGCGAGGATGGTGACACAGGACGCCCTGCGTGGGGCTCTCACCCCGTCCCGCTGACAGCAGGCCCCTAATCCCTGGCCTCCCGCCTGGCCCAAGACTCCTGTCCAGTGGGTGTTCCATGCCAACGGTGACCTATCACCAACAGATTCTGTCTCTTGGAGAAGTGACAGCAGACCCGGGGTGGGGGGTGGGGGGGGACAGCTCTGGGCAGGAGGGCACCCCGACTGAAGACCACTGGCGGGAGCTGCAAAATGCCAGCCGCGTGACTCTCATGCTCTCCGGGGCCCCCTGTGGGGCGCTAGGCAGCCCCTGACCCTCACAGCATCCCTGCCTGCTCTGTGGCCGAGCTGGGAGCCCCTGACCCTCCCAGCATCCCTGCCTGCTCTGTGGCCGAGCTGGGAGCCCCTGATCCTCCCAGCATCCCTGCCTGCTCTGTGGCCGAGCTGGGAGCCCCTGATCCTCCCAGCATCCCTGCCTGCTCTGTGGCCGAGCTGGGAGCCCCTGACCCTCCCAGCGTCCCTGCCTGCTCTGTGGCCGAGCTGGGAGCCCCTGACCCTCTCAGCATCCCTGCCTGCTCTGTGGCCGAGCTGGGAGCCCCTGATCCTCCCAGCATCCCTGCCTGCTCTGCGGCCGAGCTGGGAGCCCCTGACCCTCTCACATCACTGCCTGCTCTGTGGCCGAGCTGGGAGCCCCTGATCCTCCCAGCATCCCTGCCTGCTCTGCGGCCGAGCTGGGAGCCCCTGACCCTCTCACATCACTGCCTGCTCTGCGGCCGAGCTGGGAGCCCCTGACCCTCCCAGCATCCCTGCCTGCTCTGCGGCCGAGCTGGGAGCCCCTGACCCTCTCACATCACTGCCTGCTCTGCGGCCGAGCTGGGAGCCCCTGATCCTCCCAGCATCCCTGCCTGCTCTGCGGCCGAGCTGGGAGCCCCTGACCCTCTCACATCACTGCCTGCTCTGCGGCCGAGCTGGGAGCCCCTGACCCTCCCAGCATCCCTGCCTGCTCTGCGGCCGAGCTGGGAGCCCCTGACCCTCTCACATCACTGCCTGCTCTGCGGCCGAGCTGGGAGCCCCTGACCCTCTCACATCACTGCCTGCTCTGCGGCCGAGCTGGGAGCCCCTGACCCTCCCAGCATCCCTGCCTGCTCTGCGGCCGAGCTCGTCCAGTCCCTGGAACCTAGAAACGTCCGGCCGAGCTCGCAGGGCAGCTGTGGGCCGACGGCAGCCAGGATACTCACGCCGGTCCCGGGCCAGTGAGGGGTGCGGACCCGTGGACACCCTTTCACCTCGAGCGTGTCCAGGTTTGGGCGCTACCTGCCACGGCCGCCCAACCCAACATTGACCTGCAGGGGGCGTGGGCTCTGAGGTCCGAACGGCCTCGGGGACACGTACTTGATGCTGATGGCGAAGCGCTCCGCCTCGGCCGGCCGCTCCCGGACCAGGTAGGTCCCGCTGGCGTGGGATTTGAGCAGGTTGTCCGTCTGCTGCCGCTCCATGTTGCCTGCGAACCTAGAGCGACGGAGGAGCGAGGTGGTCACGCTGAGGCCGGTGACGGCTCCCGCCCGGGACAGCAGCTCCCATCTGCAGACGAGCCCGTGAGGAGCGAGGGCCCCGCACTGCAGCTGCCCCTGCTGCGGCCTCCGCGGGCGGCCACTCTCGAGGCAGCCTGGGGGCCTGGCAGGCCGAGACGAAAGCCAGACCCCGGGCCGCCTGCACCCGCGGCTCACACCAGAGCGCCACCTCACGCCTGCGGTAAGCGAACATCCCACTGCCCCCAGCGAGCTGCTCACGTGTAAGCACGTGGCTACCGGGCCATAAATACTCCACTCCCACATACTGTAGCGACCCTTCATGCAGAGAGTGCAAGAGGGGACTTCACTCTCCCACCTGCGCCCCCTGATGACGGCTCTGGCAAAGGAGGCTGCTGCCAGGAATGGGGAAGACCCCCAGACCCAGGCGATCAGGGCCGCGGACGGACCAGGGCAGGCAGCTGGGCTCCGCTGCCTGGAGAACCCAGACCCGGCCTGCTTACAGGCTTGTGGGCCACCCTCACGGCCCGGAGATGCCCCCACAATCCAAGGGCCACCCCAAAGCCCAGGGGCCACCCACAGCCCAGGGGCCACCCCTCAGCCAGGGCCACGCTGGTCGGCTCACCAGGGGTAAGCACTGTAGTCGATCTCCCGGGACGGTAGCCGGCCGATGGGTGGCTGCAAAAGAGAACACGGGTGTTAATGCCCCCCCACGGGGGCCGTCCACACAGTGGGGGTAAAGGGGGCTTGTCGGCAACGACCTGGCCCTTGGGCCCCGGAGCCACTGGACTGCGGGGTCCCTGAGGGCAGTGACCAGGACTCACCACCTCTGAGTGACTCAGTCGGTTTGAATGAGTGAATGAATGGATGAGTGATGATTGGTTAAGTGAATGAATGAAGGAGTAGCAACCAGCCACCGGGCACCCATCCCCTGGAGGGTGACAAAGGCTGCAGAACTTCTCAGGGGCCACGAGCACCCCACAGCTCTCAGCGCTCAGCCCGAGGCCCCAGGGCAGGCATCATGGTCTCCAGGGGGCAGCTGCACGCAGGCATGTGACCCCTTGCGGGGCCTTCCTGGCTGGAGCCCCCAACTGCCCCTGGTTGGGCCACAGGATGGGCAAAGCCTCAGACTACCTAGCCCCTTCCTACCCCTTCACTGTGCAGATGGGGAAACTGAGGCCCAGAATGGGGACAAGACCGGCCCCAGGCCACCCGGTGTTAGCGACACTTCCTCCTCTGCCGTGTGGTGCCCTTGACCTGTCAGCAAAGCCGGTTCCAGACCCCGGGTGTCCTCCTGCGCCCTCCGTCCCCTGGGCAGGGAGGCCGCACAGACGCTGCGTGCAGGGCAGGGGCGCCAGGGGCCAGGCGGGCGCTGGGGCAGCTCCTGGTGTCGGGCCCTTTCCGGGTTTCTAACACCCATGACGGAATGCAACCCCCACTGGCCGGGTCCTTCAAACAGGAGGGCACCCTGCCCTGGGCCCACCCATCTTCTCTGGGTGCAGAATGCTCCGGGGCCAGCTCACGGCCGTCAGCCAGGCGGCCCCGACGAGAACGGCCCCAGCCCCGGCTCCAGTTCCCACCACGCTCACCCGTCCGTCCACAGGGCACGGCTTCACAGACGTGCTGGGGAAGCAGCCGGACTTCCTGGTCTGCACCAGCCGCCCCTGGAGCAGAGGGAAGGGCACGGTCAGGGCCGAGGGCCTGGCTGAGGGTTATGTGTGTGTGTGTGTGGGGGGGGGTGCTCACTGTCCCCCAGGGACAAGGACGGGGAAGGGCCATTCCCAAGACGCATGTGCCGGCATCACCTCCCGCTGTGACCTCCGCTGACTTCCTAACCCTTCTGGACAGGAGGGGGCCTCCCCACATCACAGAGAACGCTGAGCCCACGGAAGGCAGGCGGCTTGCTCCCAGCTGGGGCAGGGCCTCGCCTCCCGGCCGCTGTTCCCTCTCATCACGCAGACCCCGTCTGGGAGGCCAGGGCGGGGGCGGCTCAGCCTCGCCCTCCCCGTCCCTTCTGCCTGAGGAACTTCCCCGGGCCCCTGGCAGCTGCCCCCCGGCCCTGCGCTGGCAAAGCAGCAACGCGTCCCTGCGAGGCCACCGACGCTGACGGCCCCGGTCACACCTGGGAGGGTGTGCAGGACGCGGGAAGGCAGCAGGCGGACAGGACGCCAGGACGGCCTCCGTGAGGGCGCCGCCCCCCTCCCAGGGAACAGCCACTGCCTCTTCCCTCCACCCCTGCCGCTCACCCTCACCCGCCCTGCCTGGGGTGCACCTTCCAGCCCAGGACCCACCTCCCACCACTGAGACTCGGGGTCCCCTCTTAGCAGCTCAATCACGTCGCCCGTCTGAAAGGTCAGCACCGGCTTCCCGGGGGGAGCGGGGTTGCCGTGGTAATTCTGCACAGCCACCATCTTGGGACCTGTGGAGACAAGGGGTGGGGGTGGCTCAGGGATGCCATGCTGCCCGGACTCCTGCGCGTCCGCTACGTGTGTGTGTGTGTGTGTGTGTGTGTGTGTGTGCGCGCGGTAACAGGCTAGGGCAGTGATGGCGAACCTGTGACACGCGAACTCATTTTTTTGGTTGATTTTTCTTTGTTAAATGGCATTTAAATATATAAAATGAATATCAAAAATAGAAGTCTTTGTTTTACTATGGTTGCAAATATCAAAAAATTTCTATATGTGACACGGCACCAGAGTTAAGTTAGGGTTTTCCAAAATGCTGACACGCCGAGCTCAAAAGGTTCGCCATCACTGGCCTAGGGGGCCGTATTCTCAAATGGCATTTCCCGTGTTTTCCTTAAACGCCTCCCCTCCTGGGACCAACAGCGGCACCTGCAGGCGGCGAGCTCCCTGGGTCAGAGAGGGTGGGCCGCGCCTGGGATGCACCGAGGCCACCCCGCTCACTGGTAGGCAGCTCTGGGGCTGACATGGGGGTCCTGGCTGAGCCCCCTAGACCTGCAGGCCGTGCCTAGACAGGCCCTGCTCTGGCCCGGCCGCCCCGCGTGGGCCTGTCTGCCAGGCCCGGGCCTGACGCTGCGTCCCAGCTCACGGTGCTCTCACCGCTCAACACTGAAAACCCATGTTCCGGGCCCCGGCCGGTGGCTCCGTTGGTTAGAGCAGCATCCTGACACGCCAAGGTGGCAGGCTCAGTCCCGGCTATGCAAGAACCAACCAATGATGCGTGAACAGATAGAACGACAGCTGGGTCTCTCTGTCTCCCATCCTCTCGCTCTAAAACAGTGGTTCTCAACCTTGGCTGCACATTAGAATCACCTGGGAATCTTTAAAATCCTGATGTCTGGGCCTCATCCTCCGGAAATTCTGTGTCTTTGTTATGGGGTGGGGCCACAACATTAGTAACAAAGAAACAGAATTTCCGGAGGATGAGGCCCAGACATCAGGATTTTAAAGATTCCCAGGTGATTCTAATGTGCAGCCAAGGTTGAGAACCACTGCTCTAAAATCAGGTTTTTTTTTTAAAGAAAGCCCTGTTCCTGTGATGCGGTGCAGGGTTCTTGTGTGTGTGTGTGTGTGTGTGTGTGTGTATGGCATGTGCGTGGCGTGTGCACGTGGTGGGAAGAGGAGACAGAACACGGGAAAGCAGCTGTGCTCCCCTGTCTGCTCGGCTTGGGGCCCAAGCGGAGGGCCCAGGGTGACCGCTGACAAGGACGAAGACGAGAGGGCCCGAGCCCGCACTCACCTGGTCCCGCTCCAGAGGCGTCCTGTGAGGGCAAGGACAGACGACAGGGCTGAAGGAGGCGGCCCCATGTCCGACACTCCCCCACCCGCAGGGAGAAGGGTCAAGGCAGGGAGGGGGCGGGGCAGGGACACGTCCTAGACTCCTGCTCCCCTATGTGACAGCCCCCCACTATTTCTACTATCTCTTTCACCTCTGTGCCCCTCTACAGCCCTGGAACATCCACCCCTTCCCTCTCCCATCCTTACCCTTAACTCCCACCTCCTCCAGGGAGCCCGCCCTGACCATCCCAGCCCTGGAGCCTCCCTGATCTGAGCCTGGGTTTGTTGCCTGGGACAAGTCCCGTTGCATTCGCCTAGACGCCTCCCCTCCTCCAGGAGGGCGTCTTTGCACCCCAAGCAGGGCCAGTGAACACGCTTCAGTGCTGGTTAACATGACCGGACCCCACAGCTGGGGCAGGCCCCAGTGGCCACCCCACAGTGACTTCCGGGACTACATCCTCAGGGCAGCTAAACGGAGGGCTGTGAGCCAGAGGGGGCAGGTGGGCAGATGCAGGTGACCAAGCCGGGCACCCACGGCCGCGAGCCAGCCAGCGGGCAGGTGGGAAGGGCGGCAGCCACCAGGGCCCTCACGACCGCAGGAGTGCCGAGAGCTGGCACCGCGGGCCTGGCTGCCACACAGGGCGTGGCTGCAGGCAGCAGGAGGAGGACAGCGTGGCGGACTCACCGCGTCAGCAGGCGAACCTGGAAAGGAAGCATCAGGCCTCAGAGGGCGAGCCCCCAGCACGGGGACCGGCGCTCGCCGCAGCGGGCGAGGTGCGCTTCGAGGCCGTGCGTGTCTGACAGCGGCTTCAAAAGGTGGGAGACTGCCCGTCTGGTGAGACCCCAACTACAGATGCAATGACCACGGCAAAGCCGGCGGGCTTAGGGGCAGGTGCGCGCTCACAGCATGGGGGTGCTGCGCTGGCAGCGGCACGGGTTCGGCTGGGGTGTCAGGTGCGGCCCGAGGACCAGCCCCCGGGGTGCATCGCGGGGGCGGCGGTACTCACTGATCTTGCAGGGAGGCGTCACCTCCAGACACTCCTTGTGCGCCCCGACGCCACACTTGGTGCACAGGTAGCCCTGGTAGAAGGTGCCCCTGTGCCAGGGAGGGGGGGAGGTGAGGCACTGCCCAGGTCCCCACACCCGCAGCCGCAGGCAGGGCCCACAGAGCACCAGGCCCGCCCCGCTGTCCCCACAGAGCGCCCATCCCTCCCAGCCCTGGGCCTCTGAGACCCCGTCCCGCTCTCCCCGAGGACAGCCCCGCCTTGCTCTGCCGCCCACACCGCGGGCCCGGGCACCCACAGGGACAGTCCCCGCCCCTCCCGGCTGGACATGAGCTGATGGCCCAGCCCAGGGCGGTGGAAGAGGTGGTCAGAGGCGGTGGGTATGGGGCCCCTTGGGGTGGGGGCGGCCCTCACCGGAGGAACATCCTGCAGGCCTTGCAGTTGGTGGTCTTGTCGAACGTGTACATCTGGAAGCTGTGGTGGTTGGCGTTGGCTTTGTCGGGCTTGATGTTGGACCTGGTGGGAGGGAGGCGGCAGGTTCCCTGAGCCCCACGCCAGCCGGGCTGGGCCGGGACGGAGCCCGGTCTGCCCGACACCCCGGCTTGACGGGGGTGCTGCACGGGCACGAGAGGCCTGGGTGCAGGTCATGGCTACACCCTGCCAGGGTTTGGGTGGGGCAGGCGCGGGCACTGGTCAGGACCGAGCAGAGGAGCTCGTAGGGAAAGTCATCACGGGGACGAGTCAGCAACGAAAACCTCAGAACGAACAGCGAGCTGAGCTCCCCGCAGGCACCCTGGGCACTGAGGGGGCGCGCGCTGCGTCTGTTCACCCGGAGGTGCGTCCCCTGTCAGACGGCGCGAGGCCGGGGCTGGCGGCAAAGCCAGCAGGCGGGATGGCAAGTGTTCATGGAGGGCACCGGGGAGAAGCTACAGCCTGAGAGCCGGGGCAGATGTGCAGGAGACATCATCTATCTTTTCCTTTTTTAAAAAATACATTTTTATTGATTTCAGAAGGAAGGAGAGGGAGAGAGAGAGAAACATCAACGATGAGAATCATGGATCAGCTGCCTCCTGCACGGCCCCCACTGGGGATGGAGCCTGCAACCTGGGCCTGTGCCCCGACCGAGAATGGAACCCCCATCTCCTAGCTCACAGGTCGACACTCAGCCACTGAGCCACGCGGCCGGGCGGTCATTTGTTCGGATGTGTCCCCAGTCGACACCCTAACAAGCCCCTAACCGCCTCCCTTTCACCGCGAGCTCGCCAGGAGGAAAAGGCCAGGACTGGGCGCACCTGCCCGTCTGACCGCAGAGTCTGAGGGCACAGGACCTGCCACTCGGGCCTCGGGTCCAACGTGCCTGGGGTCCCCAACGACCCACTGATCACCTTTCTCTGTTGGACATAACGGGCTCCTCCTAGATTTCATGGAATAGTTCTGTGGCTTCCACAGAAGGTGAGAGTCACAGCCTGGGGCCCTGGGGAAGCGGTCACCAGGGGTCCATCTGGCATCGCGACCACTGCTGGCCACGCAATGCCCTGCCAGACAGCCATTCAGGGCTCAGCCTCGGGGCAGCGGGCAGCGGAGCCCACCTGGGCCAGAGGAAGAGCCCCCTTGCCCGGGAGATTGTGAAACAGCCAGGATGCTACCAACGTGGTGCTGGGGGTGACGAAGTCCATCTCAGTCTCTGGGCATCTGCCCTCACCCTCCCCTGGGAGAGTCCTGGACAGAGTCCCCTGGGTCTCCCGAGCCCCCACGCTGCCCCTGGACTCCCATGGCCATCCCCCCAGGATTCCTGAGCCCCCACACTGCCCCCTGGACTCACATGGCCACCCCCAACTGCTCCAGCCACTGGACAGAGTCCCCCCGGGACTCCCGAGCCCCCACGCTGCCCCCTGGACTCACATGGCCATCTCGAACTGCTCCATCCACTTCCGCTTCGTGTCCTCGGTTTTGCAGAAGAACTGGAAGCCCTGCTTGCCTTGCAGGTGGATCAGGTAGAAGCCATAGGACCACTGCGGGGGGAGAGTACGTGTGTGCACACGTGTACAGTGCACGCCTATGCATGTCTATGCCTGTGTGTGCACACGTGTATGCATGTGCACGGGTACAGTGCACTCCATTGCATGTTTGTGCCTGTGTGTACGTATGTGTATGTGTACAGTGCCCTCGTGTGGGGGTGTGGACATGTGTGTGCATGTGCATATGTGTATGCGCAGGTGCATGTATACAGTGCACTCATGTCTGTGCCTGCACACGTGTACATGGTGCACGTGCAGACCCCTCTCAGGACTTCCTGGGACCCCCTCCCGCCCCCTCCACGGTGCGCCCTCAGCTGAACTCGGCTGGTGCAGCCGGGTCCCTAATGGCTGAGCGGGGTCCCCGGGGAGCCCGTGTTCAGGAACTGGCCCCGGGCCTTCCATCACCGCCCACCTCCTCTCACTTCCTAAATGTGATGCTCAAGAAACCCACTGCTCTGAGGCAAATCACCCGAAAGGAACAGGGAGGGAAAGGCCATGGGTCTGGGGCGCCCACGACAAAGGCCCACACGCTGCCCACCCCTCGGCCGCCCCCAGGCCTGGCACCTCAGGGGCTGCCAAAGGGGCCCAGGAAGAGGAGTGTGGAAACCCCGGGCCCAGGTGTTAGAGATGATGGAAGGAAAAGAAGGGAGGGGGGGGACCCAGAGAGGCAGAGGGGAGAGGGGGGAGGGAGGGAGAAAGGAAGGAAAGGAGGGAGGGAGGGGGGAGAAAAGACAGAGGGTGACAGAGGGACACCAGGCAAACCCCTGACCAGCCATGGCCATAACCTCCAGGGAACGGAGCAGCGGGGGGACCCGGCAGGGGGGGCGGGCCTCACTTGAACCCTCTGTAGGAGGCAACCCCTTTCTCCTGCACACACATCATCGTCATGATTAAGAAACTAGATGAGGAGGAAGAAAGCCATGAGCCGCCCTCCTCGGGCCCCGGGGCCCCAGGCCCCCACTCCCGGCTCAGGAGGGAAGTGCCGCATCGGCCGGAGGTGAGGAAGGCGGGAGGGGCGCAGGTGCTTACCATTTTCCCATGAGACTAGGCAGCATGAGGAGAGGAGAGCAAAAGGGGGGCGAGGTCATGACGGGGCTCACAGCCCAGGACACTGACCACTGTGGAGAGCCTGGGGGGGGGGGGGGCAGCCAGGCCTCCCTCCCTCAGGGGAAGGGCCAGGGCTGGGACCTAGGGGAGCGTCAGCCCGGAGCCTGGGGCGTGGCCTCAGCCCACCACCTCTGCACCCCAGTAGCTTGTCTTGGACCTCAGGGTTAGGCGGGTCCCCCCAACAGCTCTTCCAGGCGGCACCCTCATTCTACACTGTAAGCTCTGGAGTCCAGGATCTGAGTCTTTAGCACCCTGGCTCCTGGCCCCACACCAGCTCAGGGCTGCACAGTAAGTGCCCGAGCTCTGGGTGCAGAGGCCTCTGCAGAAGCAGGACTGAATGGAGAGAGCAGGGCAGCCCCACCCAGCAGCCGTGGCCCCACCCACCGCAGCCATGGCCCCACCCCCAGCAGCCATGGCCCACTGACTGGGCAGCAGTCTGACAGCTGATGCCAGGACCACCCAGGGCCCTCCTTGGCAGGGTGGGCAGGGGCAGGAAGGAGTGCTTCCTGCAGGGCCAATGTGGACTGGAGTCGGGGGCCAAGGTCTAAGGCCCGGCTCCCACCCGAGCACTTGGCTGGTCCCTCTGCTCATCCCCTCACTTGGGCACTGCGATCCTGGCCACTCCCGCTCCCGGGAAGATTCAGAGATGAAAGCCAGGGCTGGGCTGGGCCGGCACAGAGGGGCGCCTTCAGCGGGAGTCACAGTGACAAGAGGATGACTGACAAGGGAAGCCCTGCCACTGCAGCCCACCTTTTCCCGGGGCCACTCCACGACACCCCTCAGTGGGGCCTCACCCCGGCCCCTGGCCTGTGCGCCCCGCTGCCCCACCGTCCCCCCAGGACCGGGACCCACCTTCTTGACATCCTTGTTGTTCATGGGGTCGTCGGTCACCTTGTGGGAGAGCAGCTCGATGACCTCCTTCAGCTCGTAGCTGTAGCCCCTCCTCTTGCAGACGATGACCACCTTGTCGAACAGGAACAGGTACCTGCCCGGGGCGCGGCGCGGCGTCAGCATGGCCCGTGCACCGTGCTCCCGCCGTGGGATGGAGCCCAAGCCCTGTCCTCTGGCTGGCTCACCCGCTCACCTGACCCTCGGCCAGGTCTCAGCTGCTCAGGTACGACTCCTCCAGGAAGCCCTCCTTGACCTCACCCATGGCCCAAGGTGCATATGGACTCCTCCATCCCCCAGCTCCATCTCCCACTAACTAGACTGGGAGCCCCACGGGAGCCGAACCCATGTGTGCTGTGACCCCAGCCTCGGCCCAGGCCTCGCACAGAGTGGAAGTGCATGGAGGACTGAACAGCTGCCGTGCCAGCTCAGCCAGAGCCGTCCCTGTCGCCCGCCTGGGCACTCCCTCGGTCATTTGGCAAAGGCTCATGCGGCCACGCTCTCTGCCTGGCTGCTAGGAGCCTGGGAGCTTGCCGGCCACGGGCAGGGCAGCCCCATGGGCGTGGCGGCCGCTGGCTGATGTGGCTCACCAACTCTCGCCGAGAAGGAAGGAAGCAATTAAAACAGAGCAACACAAAGCCAAGCGGGCAGGCAGCTCTTTCCAGCAGAAAAGCCGTTTCCACGCTGTGGGGGCGGGTGCCTGGCCGGGCTGGCGCCACCGCCCGGGGCACCCGCCCCGCTCACCTGTCCTGCTTGGTGTGGTTGACAATGGACCGGACCTTCAGCTCCCCGTCGATCTTCGGCCGCCCGAACTCCTCCAGTTTCACTTGCTGGACAGACGGGAAGGCTGTTAGCGGTTAGCTGTGCCAGGGCAGGCCGTCCCATCCCCTGCCCGGAGGCAGGCCCGGCGTGCACCAGCCCCGGGGGCCGATCCCACGGAGGCGGAAACCCAGCTGAAGAACCCGGTGGTCCCGGCTGGTGCTTCAAACAAGGGACAGCGGGTGCCGAGGAGAGGCCTGCAGGCTCCTGGGCCCAGCCCGCCGGCCGGGGCTGCCTTCACCTCCCAGGAACAAAGAGCCATTCACGGCGGGCGGCGCCCCCAGGCCGTCGTGGTGTGGTGCCCAGAGCAGGGACCCGGTAGGAAAGGCCAGACGCCCAGCCCGAAAACCAAGTTCAAGGGAACAAAGGGCGTGTGCCAGGCGGAGGGCGGGCGGGCGTTGGTCCTGCCAGCAGCTCGTCTTCCACGGCCCAGGCTCCCGTCACACCCGCTCTGCTCGGTGGAGGTTCCGTCCCCGTTTTCCGTGAGGCTTGTATCTCGGCCGCTCTGCTCTGGTTCAGAGATGGTCTCTGGACACGGACCTGTGTGGTCCACGCAGACAGGGAGGCTGAGCCCTGCCCTCTGGTGGCTCCGGCACGAATGCGGACCCTCAGCTGCTCAGATACGACTCCTCCGGGAAGCCCTCCTTGGCCTCCCCAACCTTGAGGAGGCCGTGTCCGCGTGGTGCTCCAATGGCCGGGTCTCAGCATCTTCCTCTGAACTCTCGGAATTTTCCAGAAGCTGCCAGGGCCGGACTCAGAGCCCAGCGGCTCGGTGTCTCAGAGGGAGGGCTGAGCACCCTGCACAGCGACTCCTCGGCGCCTCCACGCCTGGCCTCTAACGTGCAGGACGAGCCGCTGCGGGGACGGGGCTCCGGGGAGAGGGCGGCTGCGCGGGGCGCCTGCTCGCCAACGGGCCGTAGTTTTGTTTCTTCAGGAACACGTGTTACTCAGACGCTACACGAAAATGTCTAACTAACCAACAAAAACCGTCTTTTTTCGTGTAAAAGTGATGCCCGCGCATCATGGGGCATCGAGGAAACGCTGCTGCCGGGGACCCTGCCGGCCCCGCTCCGCCAGGCGCCGAAGGCACTGCACCCCAGTCCGGGCCCTGCCCCTGCTCCCTGCTCCCTGCCCCCTGCCCTGGGCGCTCGATTTTGTTCTAAAGGAAGGAAAACGGAGCTGTACCCTAACGCTGTACCCTGACGGCTTTCCTTCACTCGGACACGGTACGAGCGTCCTCAGGCGCGTGCGCACAGGGGGTCCCCTTGGGCTCTCTCGACCCCGGGGGTGAGGAATGGGCAACGGAGACCAGGTGGGGCCTGGGCACCCGGGAGCTTCCTCTGCCCAAAGCTTCTGCATGGGTTTGACTTCCACAGAGACTCAGCGGGACCGGCCGAGTTCAGGGACGAGGGCGCGTCGCGCAGGCCGGCGGCTCTGAGCCAGGCCAGCTCTGTGCCCAGGGGACACCTGGAGACGTGCGTGGTCATCACTGGGCCCCCCAAGGGTGGGGTGCTACGGGCATCTACTGGGCCATTTCCAATGCAGAGGACAGACCCCCAGCAAAGGATGCGCCCCACGTGTCGACAGAGAAGAAGTGGAGGAGCGCTGGGGGACACAGTGGCAGGTCGGCGAGACGTCGGCTGGGACAAGCAGGGGGTGCCCGCTTCCGATGGCCCAGCTCCTCTCCCGCAGGTCACAGCGGCACCCAATGCCCAAGGGTGACTCTGAGAGGGTCCCGTCAGGTGCCTGCCTGACGCCCAGGGAGAGGGGAGAGCCCAAGGGCAGCTCCCAGGACCCGGCCGGACAAGGGTGAGAACACACTTCCGCTTGTTCAATATGGAGATCGTGAGAGACATTTTAAAAACACACGTAGTACGTGGACACGATTAATCTTCACCCTCTGGCCCCGGCCGGCGTGGCTCAGTTGGGTGAGTGTTGTCCTACGCGCCAAAGGTCACGGTTCGATTCCCGTCAGGGCACAGGCCCGGGTTGTGGGCTGGATCCCCAGTGGGTGGCGTGCAGGAGGCAGCCGATCCATGATTCCCTCTCACATCGATGTTTCTCTCTCTCTCTCTCCCTCCCTCTCTCTCTCTCCCCGTCCCTCCCTCTCTCCCTTCCTCTCTGAAATCAGTAAAATACATTTAGAAGAATGATCTCCCTTCCTTGGAGAGCCGGCACTTACCAGGTTCTCTATGGAGCTCTGGAACTCGCTGATTTTCTTCAGGGTCTCTTTGTCCCGCTTCACTTCATTTATGTACATTGCCAAGTCCTGGGAAACAGCAGTGTGGGCGGGGTTAGCAGGCCCGGCCGGCGGGGCAAGGGGGCTCAGCCCCACCCCATCCCGCACCGCCCAGGGCCGGGCACTTTCAAAGCACCTGCAGCCCAGCCGGCGGGGCTCAGTGGTTGAGCGTTGACCTGTGAGCCAGGGGCACAGGCTTGGGTTACAGGCTCGATCCCCAGTGAGGGGCGTGCAGGAGGCAGCCCATCAATGACTCTCTCTCATCATTGATGTTTCTGTCTCTCTCCCTCTCCCTTCCTTTCTGACATCAATCAAAAAAATATACGTTTTTTTAAAAGCACCTTCCACCATGTGCCCGAAGTGGCTGGCTCTCAAAGCAGCAAGACAGTGAGAAGGGCCAACCCCACTTGACAAATAAAGAAACTCAGGAAAACAAGGTCAAACCAACCCCAAACCACACTCCAATCAGTGGGCCAAGAACCCCAAGCCCCTGCCTCCGGACCCCCAAGGTGAGAGTAGATAATCAACAGCCAACTAGACTCGGATCAGCCGTGTCTGAGCCCTGGGGAGGGGCCACCCCAAAGGCCACCGCCTCCGGACCCTCAGCTGCACCGGGGCGAACCCCACCAGCTGCCCATGTCATGCAGCCTCCTGCTGGCCACCAGGGGGCAGTGCCCACTGCAATCCAGAGGGCAGAGCGACTGGGCAGGGCACCCAGCGCTGTGGAGAGCCAGGGGACCCGCCCACCCCGGAGAACCCGGAGGGTGGCACAGCCCCTGTCCAGCAGGAGCGCAGGCTGCCGTGGGTGGAGCTGCAAGCCGGTCCGGCCTCCCCACAGACCTCCTGCCCGGCCCCACGAGGAGCCCAGCGGCAGAACCAGACCCGAGGCAGAACCAGACCCGAGGCAGAACCAGACCCGAGGCAGAACCAGACCCGGGCAGAAAGGCTGCAAGCGGCTGGCCAGCTGTGCGACCACTGCAGCCACGCGGCGCAGGCCACAGGCCCACACGGACGTGGAGTGAAGTCCCCCAGGAGCACAAGGCTGCTCAGAGGCGCTCTCAGCGCGGAGCATGCACAACGGGGAACGGAATCCTGGGACCACCCTCCCGAGAAACGCTCACCTGCCAAGACTGGGGACACGGGGGGGGGGGGGGGCTGCCAGCACTCAGAGTGGGGAAAGGATGGAGGGTGCTCAGGGCCTGGCCTGGCCAAGCTGCCTGGGACCCGGGCCCGTGGCAAGCCCACCGCAGAGCCACCCGGCACCGAGGCCCCTGCACGCCGAGGAGCCCGTGCCCGCCGGGGCAGTGGGAGCCACAGGAGGTCTCGGGGCAGCCGGGACTCCAGCTGAGCTCCCCTTCGGGAGGCGTAGCTGCCAGTGGGTTGGCACAGCCCGGGAGGCGGGGGAGATGGTGCGGCTCGGGGTGGGGGGGCGGGCATGTCAGAAGCGGAAGTCCCAGGGCTGGGCAGCAGGCAGCACAGGCTGGTGCCCAGACTGAGGCCAGGGCCTGGGAACCTGAGGCCCCAGCGGACGGCAGGAAAGCCTACAGCACCCCCGGCCCCAACCCTCTGCCCGTCGGTGGGTCTCCCCCGCCACCCTGTGCCCTGCTCTGCTCCGTGCCCCCCAGGAAACGCTACATCTAGGGTCACAGGCTTGTTCGCTAAGCCCCAGGTCAGCCCGGCCTCTCCCTGCCTCAGTTTACCCACCTGCATGGCTTCCAGTGCTTCCTTCAGCTGCTGCCTCTCGGGCCGGTCGGTGGAATGGCTCAGAAGTTCCTGAGGGGTGAGAAGGGAGCCATGGGTCACCCCTCAGGGGGTCCTGCCTCTGCCCTCGCCCCCACCGGGCACAGTGTGAGGCCTCCTGAGACAGACCGGCTCAGCCGGCCCCTCCAGCAGAGAGTGGGCCCCCACCCAGGCCACACACTGCTTCGAGGGAGGGTGTCCCCAAGTCCTGTGGGTAACAGGAGGGGCGCTAGCGGCACAAAGCTGGGTGCTGAGCCCCCAGGGAACAGGTTGGTTCACGGAAGAGCCTCCCTCGGCACCTCCCAGAACCAGCGTCGCCCCAGGTCCGTCTGCCCAGGGCTCCCTATTCCCATTCTCCGTGGCTGCCGGGAGCTCAGGGCGGCTAAGGCGCAGCCACGGGAACGCTCACTCCTGGCCGGGGGAGGCGTCCCGTCTCTGCCACTTTCTCTGCTCGCTTGCCCACTTGAATCCTAGCTCTCCTTCGTACACTTACTGGGCAAACGGCACAGAGAGCAGCTCCCAGTGCCCCTGCCGCTCTGTGCGCGAGGCACGGCCGGCGAGTGTCTGCTGGTTCTAGCCTCCCCGTGGCTCCGCCCTGCCCGGCCGCGGAGGCCAAGGGCTCACCTTCAGGAGGAGGTGGTACTTGAGCACCCGCTGCATGGGCACCACCAGCAGGTCCTGCAGCTTGAACTTCCCATCCTGGACCTTCAGGGTGCATTCCTGGGCGTCGGGGCAGCAAGGCGATGAGGGGCGTCCTTGCCCGGGGACGCTGGACCCCGACGCTCCCACACCCCGGCCGGGGGCAGACCTGAGGCCGGAACTGGGGCCCGGGCGTCCCGTCCTTGTCTGGCCTGGCTCCCAGAACCCCCTCCCCCATCACCAGGTGCGGGGCTGCCGCCTCTCACAGCCTCGGGTCCGCAGTGGCCACACGAGGACTGCAATTCGGGGGCTGGCACCCACTGGGCCTGCCTCAACATCCTCGGGGAGCTGGCTCACATTAAGGGAACCACCTGCGGAACCAGGGGCTCCCCCTCATTGCCTGGACACTGGGCATCCCCGCACTGCTGAGCAAAGGGCCCCAACACCGGGACCCACTCCGGAAACAGGATCTGACGGGAACCCAGCCGGGGAGCAGCCTGGTACCCCAAGGAGGGGAACAAGGACAGGGTCCTGAGTGGGGCTCATGTGGGAAACCCCACAGGAGACCGGCTCTGAGCCCGGGCGAGGATGGAAGCGGGGGGGAGGCTCCACAGCTCCCAGCAAACATCCGTCACTGGGGTCCCCTTGGGGTTCACGTAGGCCAGGGTCAGGGGTCGGTCACAGCCCCACACTGAGCCAGATCCGGTCCTTGGGGCCTACCTCACCTGCACCCAGGGGCTCAGGCTGTCTTTTGGCGCGGGACAGTGCCCTCCACCTGCTCACTGCCCACCCACAGAGGAGAAAACCACCTGCTAAAATCCACACAAAAAAGTCATATAAGCCCGGCCGGCGTGGCTCAGTGGTTGAGCGTCGACCTAGGAACCAGGAGGTCCCGGTTCGATTCCCCGTCAGGGCACAGGCCCCGGTTGCGGGCTCGATCCCCAGTGGGGGCGTGCAGGAGGCAGCTGGTCCATGATTCTCTCTCATCATTGATGTTTCTCTCTCTCCCTTCCTCTCTGAAATCAATAAAAATTTAAAAATTTAAAAAAGGAAAAGTCCTTTCACTACCCCGTCCCCCCCTTCCCGCAACGGGGTGAGCAGGAGGCCATGGAGCTGTAGCCTCAGGCGGATGAGCCAGGGGCCGGGCTGGGAGCCACTGTTACCTCCACTTTCAGCCTGAAGTCCTCCCGGCTGGCGAGGAGCTGGTTCAGCGTGTTCTGAGCATGCTCCATGTGGCTGCAGTACTCCCCGTAGATCAGGAGCCTGGGCATGCACATGCGGACATGTAGGTTCACATGTGTGCACACACGTGCACGCACATGCACACGCACACATGCAGGGACGCACACACGCCACCTGCCGCGGGCGGCACACAGCCAGGGGACCCCACCGGTGAAGCCCCGGTCAGCTCTGCACTGTCCCGCGCAGACCCAGAGAGGCACCCAGGCGTCCCCAAGGCCCCCGGCCGGGAGGGGCCGCACCCACCTCTCCTTGAACTCCAGGAAGACCTTGGCCAGCGTGCCGCCGCCCGCCATCATGGCCACGTCGATGGCCCGCAGGAAGCTGTGGTGCACCCTGATCAGGTCCTGGAGGGAAAGCCGTCGGCACGTGAGCGGCACCAGCCAGAGGGCCACGCGTCCCTGTTCACTCTCGGACAGAGAGGCCCGGGCGTGGGGGTGCGTCCCACATAAGTGTGGGTGTAACGCAGCCAGGAGGGCCATGGGGCTGGCCGCCTGAGGAGGCCTGAGCACACCCAAGTCCCCGAAACCAAGTCCCTCCTCTCATCTGCCAGCCACCAAACACCCCTTAGCCAGGACCCACGGAGCCCTGGGCAGGGACGCAGCGCAGCCCGGGACCTGGGTACAGGCGCAGCCCGGGACCCGGGACAGAGCCCGCGGGCGGGCACACAGGGCCTCACCTCCAGGTTGATGAAGACAGCCGCCATGTCCGCCGGGCTCAGCACCAGCCTCAGGGGGCCCATGTAGTTCTGGAAGACAGAGCCCGATGATGCCTCAGTGCGGGGGGCAGCCACCTTCCAGGCCACAGCGCGGCCAGAGGGGCTCGGACAACCCCGCGAGGTCAGGGGCTCCCTGCAGGCGGCCCCCGCGCCTGGCCCGGCCGGCGCCCAGTGCTCGCTGCAGAGGATCTGGGAGGCCCGGCTCTGCTGCGCGGGGCAGGCGAGTGGGGCCTGAGCACGGGCAGAGCACACCTGCTCCCGGGGGCACTCGCGTGCGCTGGACACGAACCCACAGCCACCACGGAGCATGGCTAGCGTCTGAGACATGAGAAACTGACTCCGGGAGGGGGGGGCGTCACCCTCATGCACCTCCGGACGGTGACAGGGCCACGGTCCCCGCCTGCGCCCTGAACCTGCCAGGAGAGGCTCTCCACGCCCAGAAGCTCCGCGGGCAGGCAGTGGTCCTGCCCGAGCTGCCTCGATTCTCACAGGTGCAAAGGCCCCTCCCCCCGGGGAGGACTCGCGCCTCTCCTCTCTGGCCCCTTCTCCCCAGGGGGCCTGTCCCCACCTCTCCCGGCCACGGGACCGAGCAGGAGGAACTGTCCACATGGACAGGCTGCCCTGGCCTGTCTGACTCGGGGGTAGCACACCTACCTCGAATGGGGAGGGGAGGCCTGTAAACATGGTTACCCCCAAAGCACACGGCACGCCCTGGCTGAGGCCCCCAACACCACCCGGACGCACCAGGCAGGGGTGGCCCCTGCCCCGGAAGGCCGAGCCCACCTTCTCGATGTCCTCCAGCGTGCGGTAGTACTTGGCCTCGGTCTCCTGGATCTCCAGCAGGCAGCACGTCCTCTTGTCGTCCTCCGTCATGCCCATTTTCTACGGGCGGACACGGGCGTGAGCAGGGGCTCCCACCAGGCCTGCCACCCGCTCACCGCCCACTTGGCCAACGTGGGGCCGGATAGGAGACAGGAGGGCCCAGGCCTTCCTCCCCCTCCCCCCTTGCAGATGAGGAAACTGAGGCACACGGAGGGGCTGTGGCGGGAACCTGAGAACGGGCGGCAGTGCCAAGGAAGCACGGCTTCCAGGCCAGGGCGAGCCCCGCACCAGCCACCTCCGGCATAGACAGCACGTGTGAGGTGCTTAAAGCACCTACTGTGTGCACAGGGGAGCCTCTGACCAGCTCCCTGAGGACCCGTGTCCGCCAACTGGATCCTCAGCTGGTGCCTCAGAGAAGGACACGATTCCTCACAGGCTGGCCCTTCCCAGCGCCCACGGGCTGCAAGCAGGGCTCCTGGGGACGCGCCACCGTGGCAGGGCCTGCCCCCACCTCTGGGGGGACCGGGGCGGGGGGGCGGGCTGACCGAGACTGGTCACAGGGCCGGGGAACGGGGGGTGATGTGAGTGCAGAGGCAGCCACGCTCTCGGGCCCCTCAGCTGAGCCCTATGTGCCCGTGAGCGAGGCCCTGGGAGAAGGAGCTGGCACCCGTGGCATGACGTCCGGACCCTGTGTGCCCTGACCATCCTCCTCCTCCAGGAAGGCCAGGCCCTGCTGGGCTCTGCCAGGGTTGCAGCTCCAAGGGCCAGCGCGGGCACATGGCCCAGGGCCAGGGTGGCAGCCCTGCTCAGCCAGGGGACTGCACTGTTACTCTCGGGGCTCCATGGGGATGCCGAGTGGTCCCCCTAAAACTGCATAAAAACAGGCCGACAGTGTCTCCCAGGACAGGCCCGCGAGGGGGAGACGCCGCGGGCAGCCTTACCTGCATGTACCTGATCTGAGAGCATGGAAACAGACGAGAGACCCAGTTAGCACCCAGCTGCACGTGGGGGTCAGGGAGGCCCGCGCATTTAGCCCACAGCCTCAGGGATACCCACTGCCGGGCAGGTGGGAGGGACAGGCCCGGGACCGAGAACGCAGCTGGTCTTCCCACGTCTGGGCTGAGCCACACCTGCCAACCTCTGGCTTTATCTTCCTTCGCAAAAGCACCATCCCCATGACCTCCACTGGGACTGCGGGGGAGCGCCAGCCGTGGCAGGGGATGAGATACACCGGGGTGGGTCCCAGAGGGCGTGGCGGGAGGCCCACCCACCCGGGGTGGACGCGCGGCCTGTGAGCACCAGCCCGGGGCGTTAGGACACTGAGCAGAGCAGGGCAGGGGGCGCCAGCTTATCCCCAGGATACGGTGAGGGGGGGGAGCGGGGGGGGGGGGCGAGGTGACATCGTCTCAGCCCCAGGTCCCGCTGTGTGGGGTTCAGCACCAGGGACAGAGAGAGCTTGGGGAGCGCCCTCTCCAGGTCTCCGCGGGCCAAGCACCATGGGGGGGTCTCGGGAGCCTGTGCCCCGGGCTCCGGTCCTGTCCTCGCTCCAGAGGACACCGGCTCCCAAAGGGCTGGGGGAGCCCAGAGGCCGGCCAGGCTCCTGGGCAACTGGGGGCGAGGAAGCAGGGACCTCCAGCAACAGGCGAGGGTGAACTTCCAGCCCCCAACACCCCCCAGGGGGGCAGGATCGCCCGGGGTCACGGCCCCACAGCAGACTCGACAGAGCGAGACCTGGTTACTGAGGGGAAGGGAACCCACCACACCCTTCAGGGCAGTTTCGGGGCTGCAAGCTCCGTGCCCAGCATGTCCCGTCTCCCCCGCGTGATGCCGGAGGGGCCGCAGGCGTCCAGGGGGGGAAAGCCTCTCTGAAAGGCCGGGGGAGCGGCTCCCCGCTTCGTGTGTTCGCCGCCACTGCTCACTCCCACATGGACCCGAATTCCCTTTCTGAAACGTTCTCCATTTCTGGTGTGAAAGCAAATGGCATCAAAAGCCTCCCGGGGTGGCAAGCGGCACCTCCATGCCCCTGTGTGGGGGCCCGAGGGGCTGTGGCCAGGTCCCCATCTCCCCGGCCCGGCCGGCAGGACCTGCCTCCCCACAGCAGCTGTGGGCATTAACCCCGCACTGCAGCCCACGGGCGTCCCAGGCTGTCAGCCTCCCGGCTGGACACAGACACCCTCGCACACAGAGGACGCACAGCTGGCTGACTGGGACGATCGCGGGTCCGCGCTGCCCAGAGAGGCCGGTGCGTGCAGTGTGAGCTGACGCGTGTGGTGTGAGTGGGGCTCCCGCTGCGAGCTGGCGGCTCCCGGGCGGGAGGGACTCCGAGCCCCGCACAGCCTTCGAGGAGAATCCCAGGGCTACGCGGGAAGGGCGCGTCTCATCCCAGCCTCCTGAGGAGACTTCGCAGGGACGAGGGCCCGCAGCAGGCTGGGCCCAGGAAGGGGGAGGAACCGGGGTGGGGTGGACGGGGGCAGCCTCTGGAGCTCCCTCCACACCGGACCAGCTCCCCCTCAGTGGCCTGGGCTGGGGCCGGCTCATTTTTAAAGAAAGGGCCAGAATCAGCCTGGTCGGCGTGGCTGAGCGTTGACCTATGAACCAGGAGGTCACGGTTTGATTCCTGGTCAGGGCACAGGCCCGGGTTGCAGGCTCGATCCCCAGGGTGGGGATTGCGGGAGGCAGCTGACCAATGATTCTCTCATCACTGATGTTTCTCTCTCCCTCCCTCTCCCTTTCTCTCCGAAATCAATAAAAGTATATATATATTTTTAAAAGGACAGACTGCTCTGCCAAGTCTAAAAGTCTGTGCGGGCGAGAAGAGGGCGTGGTGGGCGCAGGCCGGGGCGCTTACCATGGGCTGCTGCACCTCCACCTTGATGATGTCCTCGTAGATGTCGTCCCCCTCATCCTCACACGGGACGCAGTCGTAGATGTCCTCCCCCACGTCGTGCTCGCTGCGGGGAGGGAGCGGTCAGAGGGGCGGGACGCCGCCGTCTCCCGGCCTAAGGGTGGGCACCTGCCTCCCAGGTGTCTGCGTTTAGAGCAGCGTGCAGAGCACAGCTCCTGCTTTGCCTGCCGTGCTTCAGAGGGATCCGAGACAGAGCCCCACCTCCCCAGCCCCTCACTAACCGCCAGGGACAGGGGGAGGCCCAGGGGAACCCCCGTGGGAGTCTTCGCAGGCCAGGCGGTGCCCAGCTCCGACGCCCGGGCACCTGCCTCCCAGCCCCACGCCCTCGCCACGGCCGGGCCTGGCACCTGCAGCCGAGCACTCAGCCTCCCTGTCCCTGCAGACGCTGCCCCCAAGGAAACAGCGCCCGAGGCCCTGCCCGCCGGTGCCAGCTGCCCGGCTCCTGTCGCACAGCAGAGCGGGCCCAGTGACAAGGCCAGCGTCGAAACTGTGGCCGCGCGGGACAGAGGAGGGGGGACGCCGCAGGCTGCTCCATCAGAGGCAGGCGAGGCCGCGGGGCCAGTGGAGGGAGGGGTGGGCGGTGGGGCCCGGGCAGCTACACATTTTACGAACAAATGACTTTAATAAAGAGAACGGGAAATAGGCCCAGAAGGGGCCTCCAGGTCACGGGTGCAGGGGCACCAAACCGCCGGCATGACAGCCGCCTTCTCCTCCCGTGTTTGGGGGACATCCCAGTTGATCCCCGTGCCCTGTCCCTCCCACTCGGGATCCTACCCCTCCAGGACCTCCCTGCAGCCCCCCGACAGGACTCAGTGCTCGAGATGCCACCTCCTCACTGCCCCACGCACGCCCATGGCGCCCACGGCTCTCGCGGGGCAGAGGGAAAGCGGGGTGCACGGGGTAGGGGGCCTGCCGAGATCTCCGGGATCTGGGGGACCTATTCCCTCCTGCTCAGGGAGCTTCCTGGACAGGTGGGCTTGAAAGATGCTTGGAGGGGTCCGGCCGGCGTGGCTCGGTGGTTGAGCATCGACCTATGAACCCGGAGGTCACGGTTCGAGTCCCGGAGGGGCCACTCGGCCCTTCTCTGCGTTTGTTTCTCCGCTGGGCCCCTCTGTCACCCATTCGGCACATTTCCCCCCGGAGCTCCTGGCCGCATTCACAGCGCGGAGTCAGCAAGGTGGGCTGCTCAGGGTCTGTTTTTATTCTGGCGACGGCTCCTTCTCTCCTGTTTCTTTGCAAGTTTGAGGACTCCCACGGACACGGGACAGGATGCTTCATAGCGGCTGGGGCCGCCTGAGACCGTCCGGTGGGCTGGGACAGTGGGCAGCCGCTGGCGTGGCTGCTGACTCTGCCTCCGGCTGCCAACTTCTCGGCGGGAAACCAGAGGCCCCGCCGTGTGTGAGGTTCCGTGGTCAGCCAGGGCTGAGGTGGATTATAAGGTGGGGGGCGGGGGGAGGGTCTCCGGCCCTGTGGGTCCCTCCCTTCCAGCGCTTTCCCAACGCTGTGGCTGCCCTACCAGCCCCCGATTCTTTTCCCTGACAGCTCAGGCCCGAGGGTGCGGCTGTCTGCACGAACTGGGGGGTGTCCCCCGGAAAAGGCTGCAAGCCTTCCAGCTCCATCCGCAGCGAGCACTCGGGGAGAAACTGAGGGCTCCTCCGAGTGAGAGTGAGACGATGTGGTCCCTCCCGCTCTGGGTGCTCGGGGAAGGGACAAGACCCCGAGACTGACAGGCAGCATCTCCGAACGCATGTCCAGAGCGGGGCCGGGGCCAGAGGACAAGTCTCGGCGTCCACGGCAGCGGATCATTCCCGTCCCCACCAGCTGGGCCCAGGGCATCTGACAGCCGAGGCCGAAGTGGACACACTTTTGTCGTCACCCGCCTGCGTGACGGTGGCCTCTCCAGCCAGTGGGACTGACCCCTGGCAGCCTATGCACACCCAGGCGCTCTCTGCCACGAACACACCTTCCCGGGGCGCAGGGAAGTCCTCCCCCGAGTCGCAGGGAACTTCGAGGATTCTGCTTCCTCGTAAATCCTGTGAAGTGTCGCAAACCACGCTGTGCTTCCCTGGGGCGATGCTCAGCCACACCTCCGAGATGGGAACCCCAGGTCCTGGGCAGATGGCCCCGCCTGGCTCTCCTGCCTCACCCCCTCCCCACCTTCCGCTCTCTGGGGCACTGTCCCAGCCAGGCCTCTACAAGACGCTCCTACTTGGGCTCCAGAACCCAGTGGTCACTTCTTCTGAGGAGCCCTCCCGGATTTCTGGGCTGGCATTTACCCAGCCCCAATCCGGGCTCCCAAGGGGTGGTGCTTGTGTGTGTAAAACTCCCTTCCAGCCCTGGGCGAGGGGTTCCCCCAGTTCAGGCACGTCACCCTGGGCCAGCCCAGGACTCGGGCAGGTCTGAGACGGGAGGAGCCGCACCCCCAGGCTCCCCGGAACATCCCAGGAAGAAGAGGGGCTCTCAGGGAGGGAGAAGCCATATGCAAATGCAAGGCATTCATCATGGGAGCAATTTCAAAACAGGCCTCCCCGTTTGCTGGATGAAGCGTTTTTAAGTGGCAGTATTTTGTGTTAATTTTTTCAACCAGCTGCTGTCCTATTCAATTATACATGATCCAGTGGCCTCGACAGGGAGCTCGGAGCCCCCGAGGCCATCATCCGAGCCCAGCGCCGTCGGGTCAGACGCACGGGCTTCTGAGCTCCCGGGTCACGTTCTGACCCGAGACCCCCGCCGCCCACCTGGGCCGCTACCCACCGCGGCTGTGAGCTCCCAACGCGGGGAGTCCCGCTGGGCTGTGCCCGCGGTTACGCAGAGCACGTGGGCTCCTGCGTCCCGACACCGCCCCCCTCGGACTGACAGCCCTTTCGCGCCGATGCCTGTGGATCGTCGCGCGCCTCTCACAGGAGAGGCTGCGATCTGCGTCGGTTTCCCACGGTTCACATCTCAGGATATTGTGCGCGAACATCTTCGTGTTTTGCTTTGGTTGCTGCCTATAATTACTGTTAAATTTTCATCTTACTGTACGTTCCCTTTCTGTTTGTTAAATCTCCATTTACCTTCCCTGTCCCTTCTGCTTTCCTCGTGCTCACTCACGGTTAAACAGGACAAGAGGCCTGGCCTGCCTGTAAGAAAGGGTGGAGCAGAAACGCGGGAGGGTCTGGGACCAGTCCTTCCATCTACATGACTCCTAATGGGAACAGGTGACTCGGTTCCGAACAGCCCTCCGGAACGAGTTCGGTTCCAGGAACGAGGTGCCACTGGATTTTGGATGTCGGGTTAAACAAAAATACATCCTTAACATTCGCCTGCCTGTGTTGTGTTCTTCCTGCTTCGTGTTTGGATGTTGGTTTTGGTGTGGCTACTAGAGAACTCACCGTCCCACATGTGGCCCGTGTGCCATTCTCCGGGCGGCACAGCCACGGCCGTTCGGAATCAGAGAAGAAAGGCCACATTCGGGGTGAAACAGGCCGGGAGCCACGTCCCTGCTGAGCGCCCGCAGTGTGGTCTCTGGGCTGTGCCACCCACAACGTCACTGGCAACCTTCCCAGCCGGTCCCCAAAGCAGATACAGACAGTGTGTCACACCCGGGAAACCGAGGCACGCAAGGTGGGAAACCTGCCAGAGGCCACACAAACAGGACACGACAGAGCCAGGTCCTGGGCTTGTCCCACAAGACAGCCCTGTGGCTCGGGAGCCGGCGTGGCGGGAGTGGACAGACTCCTGCACTGGGTGGTGGGAGGCGGCCTCCACTGAGGAGCTGTGTCTGGTGGGCAGAGGCTGCGGGGCCTCCACCACCCGCTAGGCTGGGGCGACAGTGGGGGACACCCCAGGCAGAAAAGCCTCTCAGAGGAGGGTCCACATGGGGGACCCACGCCTCTCCTCCAGCGCTCGCCCCTCTTGCAGCCAGCCCCACCCCTGCCCGGAGCACAGGGGCCTGGGGGGCAGGGGTCTCACTCCCCTTTATAGTCCCAGCTGCTGGGAACACAGAAAGCACTTAGTGTCCAGTTGGCAACTGGACGAGTACACAAATGAATGAATGAATGAATGGAAGCCCACGTCGGGGTGCTCCCCATGTCGGTCCCCCCAGGTTCCCTGCGTGGGAGAGCGGCGTGTGGCTGCGTGTTTGAGGGGGTCCAGCTGTGGAGCGTCAGGCCGGGCAGCTTCTGACGCCTGGCCAAGAGCCCGAAGGAAAGATGCGCAGGTTCTGCTCAAACTGTCGCTGCTCGCTCCCGGCCGCCCAGAGGCAGTGGGGCTCCCTCGCTCCCGGCCGCCTGGGAAGTGGGGCTCCCTCGCTCCCGGCTGCCCAGAGGCAGTGGGGCTCCCTCGCTCCCGGCCGCCCAGAGGAAGTGGGGCTCCCTCGCTCCCAGCCGCCCGGGAAGTGGGGCTCCCTCGCTCCCGGCCGCCCAGAGGAAGTGGGGCTCCCTCGCTCCCGGCCGCCCGGGAAGTGGGGCTCCCTCGCTCCCGGCCGCCCAGAGGCAGTGGGGCTCCCTCGCTCCCGGCCGCCCGGGAAGTGGGGCTCCCTCGCTCCCGGCCGCCCAGAGGAAGTGGGGCTCCCTCGCTCCAGCTCCGCCTGGCCGCGCACAGCCGCCTCCCTGCCCCGCGGGCGGGCGGCCGGTGAGAAGCGGCCTCCCTGTCTGCCTTGTAAGCTGCCCTAATGGATAACATCAGCCCAGGTCCCCGGGGACAGGATGCGAGGGATGTGCTTCTCCGTGGAAGGAGGAGGAGGGGAAGCTTGAAAAATTTATTAAACTGGAGCCGCTGGGACCAAATCGCAAGTTAGAGACTCCCACCCACCCCGTCCCCGCCACTCATGATTTACATCTGCAATAAGCGCCGTAAGGAACCGCCGGATCCAGGCTCGCTCTTAATGCCACGGAACGACGCCACTGAGCTGTGCGAAGCCACGGGCCGACTGGCTCTCGCCCGAGAGGAGTCACGTCCCATGTTGCGGTTCGAGGGCCCCGTCACACGGGAAGGGGCAGAGAAGGGGGGCATGGGCGCCCAGGGCCGCCACGGTCTGACTCACCGCATAGAAACCCCCCAAACTGACCGCGCCCCACAAGCCACTGGGGACAGGCAGGAACCCGGGTGGCAGCTGACGGGGAGCGGGCTCTGGCTGGTTCTGGGAGGCACTTCCTGCCACGTCCCGGCTGCTCAAGGAGCCCTGGGCCGGCTGACACCTCAGGTTGGTGACCTGGGAGAAGCGGCAGATCTCGATGGCCCTCACCCTTGGACAGGGCGCCCCGGGCTCTGGGGGGTGGGGGGGGCCTCAACGTCACATGGCAGCGAGGTGAGGGCACAAACGTGGAGTCAAAGCTGAGTGACATGGACCGGGGCTTCCCCTCTCTAGGCCTCAGTCTCCTTGTCTGTAAAATGGGGACGCCTGCAGACAGACCTCACAAAGCAGCTGGGGCGAGGGGACATCGGAGGTGAGGTCCCAGCAGTGCCCGCCCGTGCAGGCTCCGTCACGGTCGTCACCCAGGACTTCCGCTGCCGTGCGCCCACGCCCGCGCTGCTAGGGGGCCTGAGCGGGGTGCTTGTGACAAAGACCCCAGGAACCTCCCAGTCGAAGGAAGAGAGGCATTTACCTCCCAATCACCGTGCACCCCATGGACAGCCGCGCAGGGTGGGGTGCTCTGCTGTGGGGGATGGGCGGTGGTGCTGGCTGGGTGGGTGGCCTGGAGGGCTGTTCCAAGGGGGAGACACTCAGACCCGGATTTGGCAGATGAGGAGGGGTCTCCAGGTGGAAAACGCCGGGAAGGGGCAGGAAGCAGTCCAACCTGGGCTCAGCCCGCAGGAGTGGGGCAGCGGGCGGGACCGCCTTCCAGCTAAGCCTCTCTGAGCCGTTTCCTCCTCCCTGCAGGCGGGTGAGCAGCTCCTCACTCAGCCCCACCCCTAGGGCCCGTGCTGGGGTGATCCTCTCACAGGCATTTCTAAGACCCTCTCTGACTCCTGGCACTGCTCAGGGCGGGCGGGGGGCAGGAGGTGGGGGGCGGTGGCATCCAGGTGGGCTGCTCGGCCTGGCTGTGACTCCAGGCTGCTCTCCCACCCTCTCCCCAACATGGGGTCGACCAGACGCCCCGAAGAGCTCCATGCCTCCCAGTGGGGTCGCTGCAGGGCCCGGCCGACCCAGGCTCAGGAGCATGGGCTGTGGCAGCCACTCCCACTGGTGTTTCATTCCCATCACAGGACCTTGGCTGCCAGCACAATGCGGGCATCTGAGTTTTGAGTGACTCGTATTGCTTTAAAGAGACGGGCTCCTGCTAAAGGCCCCACACCCTGGAGGCAGCGGGGATGTGGGGTGGGCGGCCAAGGCTGCCCCCCCCCCCCCCCCCGACCCCCCCCGGCCCCGCCTGTGCTGCAGGGGGAGAGAAAGAGATGCCGAGTCTTCCCACAGGAACCGCGGCTTATCCGGGACCCAGCAGGAAGGAGGATCTTGTTGCAGGAAGCGTGTGGGGTTCCCCCCCTGGCCTAGGGGCAGCGCCAGCCGGCTCAGGAGCCACCAGGGCCCCCCAGGGCTCAGGCTCCCTCCTGCAGGGTGGGCACCCTCCCTCCTCCCTCCTCCGGCCACTGCCCCCCCAGGGAAGCAGCCCGGCCCTGAGTGCAGGCTACACGGTCCCACCCTGCCACAGCGACCCCACAGAGCCAGCCGACTCTTCAGGCTCCTGTTGGGGGGGGGGGGGGGCGGGACTGTAGGGTGAACCAGTCCAGGATGATGGCCAGGCCGGGGCTGCGTGTGGACGCAGAGGAAGCCCTCAGAGAGAGGAAGGAAGTAGACACAGAGCCACAAGGATGGGCCACCCAGAGAAGGGGGACCCCTGTGGCCTCAGGTGGCCTGGTCTCAGCCCCGCGCCCGCCCTGATGGGCCAGAGGCAGTGCTGGACCCACCCACGGCCTGTGCTGTGGCCCGGGCTCGAGGGGCCCTGGCTCCAGGGGCCCACATCCCCCAACACAGCACCGGGCTAGGAACCTCCCCCCAGCTCTCTCTGCGGCTCTGAAAAGAGAGGCTCCCCGACAAGAGGCCTGGGAGGAAGACCCCTCCATGTCACCTCCAGACACGCCGGGGCCTTCGAGAACGAGGGGGTGTGAGGTGCAGACAGGCTCATGTCTGAGAGAGAACAGACCCTCACCCTCACCTCCCACTCTGCTGGGGGGACCCTCACCACAGCCCTCAGGACTGACAGGTGCCCTGGGGGGGCTCTGAGGCCTCAGCGGGTATCCCCGCCCCCGTCCGCCTCCCCACGCCCCCCCTCCGCTGTCCAGTCCGCTCCTGGGTGCTTACTCGGCCAGCTCCTCCAGGCTGCGGTAGACGTCATCGTCGTTCTCCGCCGTCTCCTCCGAGGGGAAGGGCCTGCGGGAGGAGAGAGAGGAGTGAGCCGGGATGGGGGCCCCGCTGGGCTCTCCCGGGAGGAGCTAACGGGCTTCTGTCTGCTTCTCAGGGAAGGACACACTCGTGTGTCACGGAACCAGCCGGGCTGCCTGTGTCTGTGAGGCTCTGATTTTGCTTAATCCCGTCACCTCCCCTGCTCTCACCTGCACTGCAGCCCTGGCTCCGGCGCTCAGCCAGCTGACCCGCCAGCATCTGCAGCGGGCTCCGGGCACTGTGACCCCAGCCCAGGCTGCGTGGGGCTCGGCCTGCTCCCCTGCGGTCCCTCCACCGGAGGCAGGAAGCCCCATGCAATCCCCTCACTGAGTGTCTGCAGATGCCTCCCCTGGGACCCAGCCTGCTGCCCCCAGCTTCGTCCCCCCAGACGCTGGAGAGATCGCTGGCCAGAAGCCAACAGAGACCCCACTGCTGCCTCCTCCTCCTCCAACGCCTTCATTTAAGGCAGTGGTTCTCAACCCTCCTAATGCCGCGACCCTTTAATACAGTTCCTCGTGTTGTGGTGACCCCCAACCATAACATTATTTTCGTGGCCACTTCATAACTGTAATGTTCCTACTGTTAGGAATCATCATGTAAATATCTGATATGCAGGATGTATTTTCATTGTTACAAATTGAACATCATTAAAGCACAGTGACTAATCACAAAAACAATATGTAATTATATATGTGTTTTCTGATGGTCTTAGGCGACCCCTGTGAAAGGGTCGTTCGACCGCCAACGGGGTCGCGACCCACAGGTTGAGAACCCCTAAGGGGAGACCTCTGGGGGCAGCTAAGAGCAACGCCTCTGCAGGTCACAGATCCAGGTTCAACCCCCCACTCTGCTCCTGCTCAGCTGGCTGTGTGACCCTGGGGGCTGGGGGACCCTGGGGGCTTGGGGGACCCTGGGGGTGCTGTGACCCTGGGGGGCTGGGGGACCCTGGGGGCTGTGTGACCCTGGGGGCTTGGGGGACCCTGGGGACACTGTGACCCTGGGGGCTGGGGGACCCTGGGGGCTGTGTGACCCTGGGGGCTTGGGGGACCCTGAGGGCACTGTGACCCTGGGGGCTGGGGGACCCTGGGGGCGCTGTGACCCTGGGGGCTGGGGGACCCTGGGGGCTGTGTGACCCTGGGGGCTGGGGGACCCTGGGGGCGCTGTGACCCTGGGGGCTTGGGGGACCCTGGAGGCGCTGTGACCCTGGGGGCTGGGGGACCCTGGGGGGGGGTCTTGGCACCAGGCACAATCAGGCTCAGCTGCATCTCAGCGGGTGTGACGGGCCAGGCGGCAGGGAGAGGTGGGGGGGAGGGCCGTGGGAGCCCAGCCCAGTACCCCTGTGCCCAGCTCGCCAGGGAAGCAGCCAGGCTCACCTTAAAGGCGCATCCGGGGCACAGCCTGGAGCCCCCACAGGCCCGTTCAGTTACTGAAGGGGTCACCTGGGTGCCGCCTGCTAACTGGCGGGGAGCCCTTGGCGCCCAGGGGTTCGCTGATTAAAAACGCTCTCCTGCTCCTGCCCCGACTGTCCAAACAGGCACACGGATCCCCTTTCTTTCTCAGCCCCCACCCCGCCCAGAGCAGACAGCCATCATGTGGGGGGGGGGGGCAGCGCCAGGCCAGACACCCCACCCACACCCACACCCAGCTCAGGATCGCCCTGAGTCAGAGAGGCGGGGACCCACACCCACATGCAGGCCCCTGGGGACGGAGGGGGCAGGGAGGCCCCTGGGCTTCGAGAGCAGAGAAAGGCTCTGGGTGGGACCCAGACAGGCCTGGGAACCAGGAGGGGGGTGGGGTGTTACTCCAAGTTCAGGACGAGAGCCTCCTGTCAGAGGGGAAGAGAAGTGGCCACTCGGCTTCCTAGCCGGGAGCTCGCCCAGGGCTGTGGGCCTCAGTTAACGCGTCTGTAAAATGGGGATAAGCCACCCGCCTCATAGCGCTGAGGACACGCTGCCCCCAGGCCTGGCACTGAGGAGGTGAAGACACTGCGACTCTGGATGTGGCAGCCCTGGCAGAGGTGCCCCCGCCCGGCACCCCAGGGGCGTTGGGGCTCCGTGAGGTTGGGCTGAGCAGGGAGAAAGCTGCCGGGCCAGGTGGGGCAGCAGTCCATGGGAGCTGGGGACTGACGGGTGGGCCGGACTGTACAGCCCAGATCTCACACCACAGTCAGCAGGGACGGGAGGGTCTCTGCCCCTGTGGGGTAGAGGTTGAAAGGTGGGGAGACGGAGGTGCAGCCACTGCCATGACCCTGGCGGGACCCCGATGTCCACAGAGGTGGGTGCGGCAGAGGTGGGGGGAGGGCGTGGGGGCGCGGCTCCTGAGCAAGGAGATGGAAAGTGTCCCCCAGAGGAGAAACCCAGGGTCCCCCAAATCCCTGCCAGGCTGTTCCCTTCCCCGAGTCTGGGCCCCACAGGGTGGAGGAGGCGCGGACCTCAGGGCAGAGCGGCACTTCCGGCCGCTGGGAAGCGAGCGTATTTGTGACCCTGCGCGATTCTCGGAACAGCAGAGTGTGGAGTGGGAAAGCCGGCGTGGGCACGGCCGTCCCCCCGAGCGATCCAGCCCCGAAGCCCTCGCGCTCCCTTCCCTGCCGTCTTGGCCTCTGCCAGGGGACACTGCCCGGGCCAGGCAGGAACCCCCGTGGCCTGCCAGGCTCTGCCCGGACAGACGCGCGGAACACGTGCCCCAGGGGGCAGGAGGCATCACAGCACTCGCCCCGGGCCTGAGGAAGGCCACACGGGCCAGCGGGCTCCCGGGAGCCAGGCCTGTCCAGCCAGCGCCCCGCACAGCTTCCCCCAGCCCTCGGGCTGGGCCTCGTGTCCCCCCATTTCCACCAACAGGAAACCACTGCACGCTCCCTGCACAACACGCTCCCAAACGGCCTGCGACGGGCAGAGCCCCCACGTGCCCCCAGCCCTGGCCCGGGTTACGGAGCCGAAGTCGGTGTGCCGGGCGGGGAGAGTGACGCTGACCCTCGAGGAAACTGACACAGGGATGGGTGGACACAGGCCGATGGCAGCCCTGCCCCAGGTTCCGGAGCCGCCAGCCACGGGGCAGAAGGCCGCCTCCTGCCCGCAGCCCCCCACTCTGCCCCAAAGGTGCCCCTGAGGCCCCAGACCACTCCCACAGGCAGCCGTGAGCGTGAGCTGACACCACAGCCCGGGCACTTAGGCAGCTACTGGAAGCAAAGACCCTTCACTTCCTTCCCCCTTGTCCAAGCTGTCCGCTCCCAGGAATGGCCCTGGGGCCCGGTGAGGCAGGTGGTGGCAGAGCAGGGCCCCGGCTGCTCCCTAACCCCCTGCTCCCCAATCACACAGCTGGCGGCGCTGGGGCTCGGCCGCCTTTCCATCGGGCACAGGAGTGAGTCAGACGCACCAATGTGCCGCGGGCATCCAGTTCTCACTGCTGGCTCCAGGCGGAAACGTGTGGAAAGCAGATCTGAATACGCACAGCATCTAGGGGCACGGTGGGACCCTGCTCAGGGTTCTGGGGGGCCGGCGGGGGTTCTGTGCAGGGGCAGGGAGTACGGGGTGACCCAGCACCGGAGGCCCCCTTCTCCCTGCCCCGACGTCCCTCCGTCTCCTGGGAGATGAAGTGTCACACGGCAGCCCCATTCCCGGAGTCCGAAGGCCTGGATCCACCAGGACACGGGGCAAACCAGGGCCTGCACCCCGCCCTCGCGCCCCCCCCCCCAGCCCTCTGGCAGCAGCATCACTGATATTGCGGTGGTCTCTGTGGCCTCTGGCATCGCGCTCCAGGCGCAAGGCAGATCGGTGGACCCCGGTGAGAAAAGCGGCCGGCTGCCCGGGGCGCTCTGGGCAGCCCTCAGACTAGGCACCTGCTGCCCAGGGGTGGGGTTAGTAGGTGGTCAAACCTCTGCCCCTGGCTGGGGTCCAGGGTGAGGGTGGGGCACACACCCAGATGGCAGGACACGAGGGAAACCCAAGCCTTCCCTGGATTCACAAAGGAGGGGTCAGGGAAGGCGTCAGGATTTGGGGGGGGTTCTGCAGGTTTCCTCCAGTCAGTGATGGCAACAGCCCACAAGATGGGCACCAAGGCTCAAGAGGGGGAGACAGTGGCCCCAGGAGACCAGCCAGGAAGTGGCAGAGCCAGCCTGGAGCCAGGACTGCTCCCAAGAGGGCCACGTGGGGAAGCAGCCAGGCAGGACAAGCGGCACCTCCCACCCTCCCAGGACAGAGGGGGGCTGCGTGCTGCATGCTGCGTGTTGTGGCTGTGGGCTGCCCGAGCCTGCGTGAGGACGGGCCGGTCTGCAGCCCTCCCACCGTGCACCGGGAGGTCCGGCTCGGCCCTAGGAGCGGAGTCCTGGACCTCGGCCCTCTGGACGGCGCCAGCCAGCAGCTGAGGCGGCCTGGGGGGTGGCTGGGCACGGGCCTGCAGCCCAGGCCTGCGCTCGCTCACCTTGGAGTCCAGGCCTGAGCTTCCAGCCAAGCCTCCCGGCTGGGCTCCAGGCCTCAGCGTTAACCGGAACCACTAGTGCCTCGCTGCTGCCCTCGCGGGAGGGGCCGGGCTGGACTCCGTGCCATCGAAACCTGCGCCCGGACTGCCGGCCACAGCCCGTCGCAACGAGAGGAAGGCCCGCTCTGCTCCCCTCCCCCTGCGGGGACCCGCCGAGGACAGGTGGCCAGGACACTGATGCGACCAGGCGGGCCGATTAAAACCACCTGCTGGCAGGATAAGTGGCTAATGAGCACAAGAAAACCGCCACTCCCTGTCCCAATCGCCTCTCGCCTGCTCAGTCCAATGACCTGGAATTCGCCAGGCGGCACCGGGCGGGAGAGGGGCAGCGTCAGCCCGAATGGGAAACGGGGCGAGAACGGGACCTGAGCCCCAGGGAGGACTCGGAGCCGCGGGCAAGGTCTGCAAACGCGGGGGAGACGCGAGGAGAGGCTGGGCTCCAGGCGGGACACGACCTGCCCTGAGCAGGGGGTGAGGGGGGGCCCTTTGAGTCCCGGATCCCCCAAAGGCACCCCAGGCCCTCCGAAGGAGACGCAGGACGGAGTCATCTGGCTTCAGAGCTACTTGGCACGTTCAGGTGACTCGGGGAGGCTCAGGGCCTGAGGTGGAGGTCAGGGCGCACCCCCACCTGTGGATGGCTTTCCTCGCTCTCTGCTGGGGCGTCTGTGCCCCCGTCCCTGGAGACAAAGGCAAGCCTGTCGGGGGCTAAACGAGGGGACTCCCCCAGGCCATAGGCGGACTTATCCCCAAAGCTGCTTCACCGTTCGGTCTGTCACCCACGGGCATCTCAGGGGTGAAGGCGCCCCACCTCCGGCAGCGGGAAGACCAGGGTGGTCTCTGTGGCCAGCCGGGGACAGAGGCTGTCCCTGTCCATCCCAGAAGGTGCTGCTGCGCTCAGATGTGCATCTGGGTGCGTCTGACATGCTGAGAATTCACTTCAAATTGGAAGAGGGAGTCCCGGTCACTGGGGGCTGGGGAGTCCAGTCTCTCACCGCTAACCCCAGCCTCCACCAGAGGACAGGTGTCGCTCAAGATCGTCACAGGGGCCCGGCCGCTCTCACGGCCCCCAGAGCCTCCCTGCCCAAGGTCCCTGGGGGAGGGCTCCTGGCCTCACGGCCTCATCCTCACGCCCAGCCCCGCCCTGGCCATGCCCTCCCTCCCCGGCCCTCAGCGCTGTCACGGATGAGGACGTCCTTCCGTCTGCAGGACCAGCTCCGGCTGCCACAGGGACCTGCATCCCACACGCGGGGCCGGACGGGTTGTCCTGGGCCGCCCCCACCTCAGCGCAGACCCTCTGCGGGACCAGGGTGGGACTCTCAGATCAAGTCTCCCATTCAGCGCCTCCGAGAAGGACAACTGGGCTTTGATGGAAAACCAGCTCATTATGCAAAGCACAGTGTTGGGAAAATGATCATTTTTGTAAAGGAGTGCGTTGGGCTCCCATCCAGCCGTGAGCGGAAGGAGAATGATCCGGCCAGGCTGCGGGCCTGGGGTGTGGGTTTGGCTGAAGTAAAACCTTTCGCTAATTAGTGGCCCCGCAGAAGACTCTTAACGGGAGAGCCCCGTGGGCGCTCGGCAAGGTGCTGGGGCCCCAGGGTGTCCAGTGGCCTGTGGACACCTCTCCGTCCCCCGGACGTGGATCCGGACTCCTCCTGCTGTGCTGCGGGGGCACACAGAGCAGTGCCGCTGGCCCGAGCTCACAGGGTGGGCTGTGAGGTGGCGGAGGGCCTGTTCCAGGGGCTGCGGGCACAGGGGACTTCATCTGCTGGCTCAGGGGCCAGGGCCAGGGGGCAGGGCTACCTGCCTGCTTCCACCCACGGCTGGTGAAGCACCTGCATCGGAGAGCAGCTCTGGCCGGGAGCACAGGGCCGTCGGGGTGCAGGGGCCACGGCAGAGGGGGCAGCAGAAGCAGGAAGACCACGAGCAAGGGCACCACCCAATTCCAGGGGCCTTTACGCTCATCAGAGGGCAGGACACGCACTGGGACAGACGCAGGGCAGCTATGGAGTCCTTCACCACTCTCTACGCCACCTAGGGTCTCATCGCCAGCGGTAAAGCCCCTGGGAAAGGGGCCTGGGAGCTACAGACGGGGTGGGGACGGCCTGGGCCTCGGGAGGGGAGAGCCTGGAGCAGCACCGAGGCGGCGCTGAGGCCGCAGCGCAACCACGTCCGTGCAACGTCAGGCCGGCTGTGCCAGGAACATAACGGGGCTCCCCGCCCCGGCCGGTGCGGGGAGAAGGTTGCAGAACCTAGAGATCCCACTCTAGCACCACATGGAAGAGCACGTCAAGTGCCTGAGCCTCACTCCTGCCGGCGGATGCGACGCGGACTAGATAAGGAATTTGCTGGAAACGGCTGAGCAGTACAACCGCAGCCCACACTCCTCACGGGCCAGCGGGACGAGAACAGACGGTCGTTTCTGGGAAAAACAAAACATCAAAACCACGTGCTGCCTCTGCCCCCAGGAAGGACACGCTTTGCTAACGAAACATCTTTAAACGGCAGACCTCGGACGGCACGATGGAAACCAGCCAGGCGGCCGGGGCCTTGGGTATCGGCGACGCTCCAGCGCGGGAGTGGGTGCGGGTGGAGGGTTCGTGGCGCTGTTGCCTTCACGCCCTGAGGCATCTGGTATGTGTCTCTGGTATGTGTTTACTCTCTCGTTTAGAAGCACTGTGACACGGCCTACCCCATGCCTGACATTAACAACAAAAACAGCCCGGCCGGTGTGGCTTGGGACTGAGCATCAACCTATGAACCAGGAGGTCAGGGTGCGATTCCTGGTCAGGGCACGTGCCCGGGTTACAGGCTCCATCCCCAGTGTGGGGTGTGCAGGAGGCAGCCGGTCCATGATTCTCTCATCTTTGATGTTTCTCTCTCTCCCTCTCCCTTCCTCTCTCTGAAATCAATAGAAACATATTTTTAAAAAACAAAAAGCAAAAATCCTCAAGTCAATGGGATGTCTAAGTCCCCTGAGACCCAGCAGCTGGGCGGGGCGCCCTGGCATCTGTGTGACGCTGAACCTGGGCAAACAGCCCCACTGAGGGGCAGCTGTGCTGGCCCAGGACCCCCGAGCCATGGTCCTGGGGCCCCCAGCCTGCAGGGGGGCAGTGTCCCCCACAGACAACACCAGGAAAAGGCCCCTCCCAGAGTCCCACCAGCCTCAAGTGAGGGGAACTGTTCCCACCTCCCAGGCCTGTCACCCCCACCCCCACCCCCGCTGACCCCTGTCCTCCCAGGATTCAAAAAGGGCCCATCCCTTTCGATCCGGAACCCTCCATGCCGCCATCTCTCGGACCCTGTGGGCCAGAACCCGCCATGAGCAGCTGCCATGTGGGGCTGCCCTTCCCCCTTCCCCCATGGGCCCCTCCATGTGTCAGAGGTGAGACACCAGACGCAGGCGGGGGGGGGGGGGGGGGGTGGCGGGGGGTGACGACAGGATGCAGAGCAGAACGGACACCAAGCAGAGACGCTCCTGCCAGGAGACCTGAGGCCCGGGTGGGCGGTCCCCGTCACTACAAACAAGCGCCAGCTCCTCCATCCCCACGGAGGCCCGCTCCTGGCGCCTGCAGAGCGCACACACGCGGGCAATGATCTGTGAAAGGACTAATTTGCTCATCTGATTGCCTAAATCGAAACTGATTTTGCAGCCATCAGTCGCACGCCTGCGAGATTTTCCTGGTGCGGGCTGACGCCTCCCCCTCCTCCCGCCCTGCCTGCCGCGGTCAACAGGTGACTTGGAACTCGGAACACGCTGAAGATTCACAACCAAGACACAGGCCTGAGACTGCAGGGCTGGGCCCAGGCTGTGGGGGCAGGTGGAGGGCGGGGCCTGTGCCGAGGGCTTACCTGATCCCTTTGTTCTGGGCCACATTGTGCAGGGACAGTCTGGACACGGCAGAGATGACCTGGGGGAAGACAAAAGAGGCTCCTGTCAGTCACAGGAAACAGAAGTCACCGGAAAGCGGTAATGCAGCCCTCGCCAGTTTGGATCAGTGGCTAGAGCCTCAGCCTGCAGACTGAAAGGTCTCGGGTTCAATTCCAGTCAGAGACACATGCCCGGGTTCCAGCCCCAGGAGGGGAGGCAGCCAATCAATGACTCCCCACTCATCACTGACGTTTCTATCTCTCTCTCCCTTTCCCTTCCTCTCTGAAATCAATATATATATATATATATATATATATATATATATATATATATATATACATATATATATATAAATTTAAAGTAAAATAAAGTAAAGCAGTAATACAAGATCTTGTAGAAGCAGAGGACTGTTCACGCGCACACTTCACCTTGGGGGGAACAGCAAACCGGTGCTGAGGCCGACACCTATTTTGTAATTATTACGCAGAATGGGTCATTTGGGTGCCCTGATCTCCGCCAGCTGCCTGGCGGCCGGGGCAGGTTCAGAGTGCGTGAGGGGTCCTGGCGGTGCCCCAGACCAGCAGCTGTCAGAAAGGACGCTGTCACCGGCTCCGGGACGACCATGGCCACTCCTCCTTGGGTCCCCCCACCAAGTCCCGGCCAGGCTGCCCCAGACACACAGCTACCACCCGCCCCGGCTCCGCAAGTCCCCGCGCAGTTATTCCACGATCGTCAACACGACGGGCGGCTCGCGGGCTCCGCACTGATCGTGGGGAAACTGAGGCTGGAGAGGGAGGTGGCTGACCCTGGAGCACAGAGTGTAACACACACCAGCAGAGCAAGGAGCTGCTCACGATTCGGTACAGGACTTACCAGGCGCCAGGGAGGCGGGTGGCGGCCTCACCTTGGAGACGCCATTGTGCGAGCACGAGTTCACCTGTGTGTGCTCATGTGTGCGTGCGTGCTTGAGTGGGCATAAGAGCTGAAGTGTGTGTTCATGTATGCACATGTGTGTGCATGTATGTTCATAAGTGCGTGCATACTTCTGTGAGCATGTGAGCTTAAGTGTGCATAAGAGCTAAAGTGTGTGTCCATGTATGCGAGTGTGCGCGCATGTGTGTGCATGTATGTTCATGGGTGTGTGCATGCTTCTGTGACCATGAGCTTGAGTGTGCATAAGAACTGATGTGTGTGTTCATGTATGTGTGTGCATGTGTGTGTGCGCGCACACATGGGTGTATCTGGGGAAAGGGAACCTGAACACGACCCCTGGTGGCCAGTTGCTAAATTCACAGACGCGCCCCACTGGGTGTTGGGTGTCCCAGGAACGAGCCCAAAAGGCCTCTAGGTGCCCCGCCCTGGGGAACCCTCCGCCCCCCCAAGGCCTGGCCTGCCGTGCACTCTGGGAGACAGGAACACTGAAGGCAGGGCCCCCACCCAAGGCCCCGCGGCTGGGACACATCCCTCCAGCATCCTTTTCGGCTGGTCTGCTGGCAGCAATTCTTTAAAGGCTCGGGGACACCCCGAAACCGTACAGAAGGGCCCTTCTCAGCCTGCGAGGCGGCAGCCCCGGCCAGCAGCCCACCTTCCAGAGGTGGTTCTGTTTCAGGGGCCGGGGCGTGCAGAAGCCGTGGACCTGGGGGTGACAGGCCCCGTCTGTGCTCTCAGACAAGACTCAATCGCGCATTATGCAGCCGCCCAGCCGGCTCCCGGCCTGGAGCTCTGAGGGATCTTTCACAAGCAACGTGGCTCTGGCTGTTTTTCTTGGCTTTAAGACGTCCAAATATTTACAGAGAACAAATCAGAGCAATATTGCTGCGTGCGCTTCCGGTTATCCGGCAGAAGCTGGACGTGTCAGAGCTGGGAGGGCTGGCGGGCTATGGGGCCTGGAGACCATCGGGCATGTGAACCGCCCCCCTCCGATGCCCGCCGGGCAGACTTCACTCATCAACTGGCACACTCCTCCCCAACGAGCCAGACGCAGGCCGGGCACCCCCTGCAGAGCAGCCCGGGCACCAGCCCTCGGTCAGCATGCACACGGGAGACAAGACCATTTGCCGACCTGGGTCAGTGCAAAGGCGCAGCTTCGCACGGGGAGGAGCTGCCGCAGCGCGTGAGCCGCGGGCGGGAGACGGTCTGCGCCCTCCCGGTGCCCGTGGTCCCGGGGCCCAGGATGGCTTCCCCAGCGGTTGTGACCACAGCAGCCTCTGCCCCAGGCTGGACTGGTCCCTGGCGGTTTGTCAAGGGCTCGGCTCCGGGCTCCCGTCCAGACAGGCAGCTCCTTAAACAGGGTTCAGGTGCCCGGCTCCGCCCGAGGCCTGCCCCTCGCTCCGCGGGCTGTGTGCCTCCTGGAGCCACCGGAAACCCTGCTCCGGGGCCGAGGGCCAGAGAGGCTGCGGGCAAACGGGGCCCGACAGCGCCGCGGGGTGCGCTGAGGCGTGGCCCTCGTGAAAGGACCCGGTGCAGGGAGCACCTCCCGGCAGGGCGCCCGGCTTCCCGGCGCCGTCGCTTGTCACTCAGGGAGAGGATCTAAAACCTCCCCACCGCCTGCCAACGCCTCTGAAAACGCAAATGTCAAAGGATGACATTTTCCCACTTTATCTCCACGGATCATCTTCCCACAGTTAATGAATGAAATGGAGACACACCGCTGCCCCCTCCCCGCCCTCCCCCACCCCCACGGGACCAGCACCACCTGGGCCCACGGAGCTTCATTCCTGGGCCAGCAAAGGGCCGTGTGCAAGGGGCATGGGGACAGGTGGGGAGGCCTGAGGGACAGCTCCCCCCCCCCAAGAGCCAGAGGTGCAGGCCGTGGAGCTTGGGGTCCAGCCCTAAGGCCACAGCCTTAAGGTCCCCCCTTGTCCTGGGTCAGGGCTCAGGGCCAGCTCTGGGGGCCCTGGGGCTGTGCGGGCCTGAACACCGGCTGCCAACCTCTGTGGAGGTGCCGGAGAACATTCTGGAGGCCGCATCGCTCAGCACCGCTCAGAGGGTCTGGCACCAAGGAAGGCTGCGGAGCAGTCCGTGGGGCGCCCGCTGGGGGGAGCTCTGCCAGGCGGTTCCGGGCGGCGTGCTGCGGGGGCCGTGTGCTGCGGGGCGGGGGCCGTGTGCTGCGGGGCCCTGACCTGCGGGACCCTGACGGATCAGCTGGGGGCGCTCTGCAGGCGGAGCCTTAGGAAGGCATCAAAGACGATGCCGCGTTCCCACTCGGGGTGCGCGAACAATTTAGTTCCAGACGCGTTCACTGCAGCAGTTTACCAACAGGCGAACATTTGCAGCGCCGGCTGAGAACACAGAGACGTGAAGAGGAAGGCGCGCCCACACAGCGGACTCGAGCCGGTGTCAGAGGAGGGGCTTACTGCTACAGCACGTCCACGAACACCACCGGGGAAAACATGTAGGGGGAGGGGCCGAATTTTAAAACATCAGCTCGCTAGCAGGACCGGCAGGTAACATGCAATGGCAGCGTGGGCGGCGTGGCTCCTTTTCTCTCCCGTTTTTCTGCAGCGAACACGCTCGCACGGCAGGGGGTGTGCTAGACAGGAGCTGTCTGCGGTGTCCACCCCCCAGGGCCAGCCTCTCCCCGAAGTCTCGGCGTTAAAACGTCACTCAAACCAAAGGAGGGACCTCGAGGGAAGTGCGGGCACAGGCCGGGAAGCCAGCGGGAGCCGGAGCGGAGCTGTGCCCGCCCAGGAAGGCTGGCAGGGGTGAGACTCGGTGGAGGGGCTTGGCGACCATCCCGCCAGGCTCTTCCTGTGCCGGTGAGAAAGCGAAGAGCCGGGGAGGTGGGAGGGGTCTGCCTAGGCCACCCCGGGACTCCCAGGCAGCGCCCACGCGGGGTGGGGCGCTGGGGCCCAGGCTGTCGCCCTGGACGCTCCATCAGCACCTACAGCGACCGTCCGCCTGGGCCTCCCGCCTGCCCAGCTGTCAGCTCCGTTGCATTTAATCCCCTCGAACCCCCACGGGACCGGGCTGCCGCCCTCCCATTTCCTGGGGAGGAACGGAAGCCCACAAGGGACAAGCCCAGGTGAACCCCGCTCCGCACCTGGCCCGGCCCCAGCAAGGCCGGCTTCCACTCTGGATGAGGCTGATGGTGGCGACGGGACCACAAACCTCGCCCTCAGGCATCAGGAGCAGGGCTAAGTGGGGCCCTGGAGGCCCATCCCCACTGGCTTTGGGGAGCCTGCTGTGAATGCACCTCACTCCTGCCCTCCGTGTCCCCCCCACACCCCCGTAGTTCCCTCCAGCAGCTGCGCCAGGCTGGCTGCCTGGGGAGGCCCCCTTCCCCCATGGCAGGGGAAAAGGTGGGTGGGATAAAGGTGTTAAGTACAGGAGGCGTCTCAACCCCCCCCGGCCGCAGACAAGCAGCAGCCCGTCTCTTCTCTGACCCAGTGGAAGCCTCTAACCAGACACAGGTCTGCTGCCCAGCGGAGTCACAGCCCAGAAGGTACAAGAATCCCAAAAGCAGCCCCGTGGCGCCCAGGCCTGGGGTCCTAAACGGGCAGTGCAGACAGCACGGGGCGGGCGGGGCTGGGCCCCACCTGAAACCTCGCCCGCTCCCAGAGGCCCGACGACACCTCGCCCTCCCCTCTCCCTGTAGCGGACACTGAACCAGGGGCCAGAAAGCAGGGTCCAAGCGGGCCCGGGCCGCCCAGCCCAGCCCGCCCCTGCCTGGCACACCGATTCCTGACTCAGCGTGTAGTGTGGCCCCACCACACCCCTGTGGGGTCGGGACCCTCCTCCCATTTCCCAGGTGAGGAAACTGAGCCCGGCCCTCTGGCCCAGCCCTTTCTCGGGCATCGTCTGCATCTTCACTGAGGAGTGAAAGCCTCCCGCAGACGTGAAAAGTTGCCAGAGACGGATGGATTCTGTTTCTTCCCCCCCGCACCCCCCGCGGCAATCCGCCAGAGAACAGCCAAGCCACGGCCCCCAGCTGCTGGGGACCCGCAGCCCTGGGCACACAACCATTTACTGGCCAGACTGGCAATCCCACCGGGTCAGAGCCTGGAGCAGCGCTCAGTGAACTGAGCTGAAGTGACCTTG